AAAACATGCATTTGCTAAATTGAGGCCACAAATAGTCAATGTTTTGTCCCTGTGATTGGTTAATCGTCATGGCGAAGGCATTAAACGTCTATATTGTGAAATGGTCATAGAATAACTTATTAAACCTACAGCAGTCTTGTTTGGTACTGGACTCGACTCCCCTCCAAATAATCTACATGTAGGTAGGTAATTATACAGAGTAGGTGGGTAACTGGGATAATGACTATGATTGATAGGGCGGTGTAGCAGTATACTTGCGTGTGACGTCAAACTAATTAATTGCTATTAATGAGATGGATGCAGATTAGATCCGGCGTCAGCTAATCGGTCGTTTTGTTGTTCTTAAACATTTGGCTGTTATGTACAATGTGAGTTGATTAGCTGAATTGATTATCCTGTTAATTACTCGATTGTACTTATGCATGAAATGTTGGTAGTTGCACAGATTTTCATTTGTGCTTGAATTAATGTTTCACTGTACCTAGTGAGCTAGGTGTGGATAGTGTAGACCAGGGGGCTTACTCTTGAACCCAATTCCGATCGATCGACATTGGTATTGTGAAATTTCGTACTCTTGAGTTGCAATACTAGAGCCCATTGCATCCGTATTGCGTAGATATTGAATGAACTAAATGGTATTGAGTTTGTCTTTATATTCCGTACTCTGAATGCTATTGTAACAGCTAAGATTGTGGTTGTATAGTGTTGACATTTAATAATTATTGAGATCATATTGGATTGAAATTGCATTGACATTGAGATTGGTTTCAAGAGTAAGCGCCCAGGTGTAGCCAACATGATTAGACATAAGAATCATAAGATCTACTTTTTACTAATCAACCCTGTTTGATCTACTACTCATATATACTTCTTGAAATCCATAAAACAGCATAGTGTTTAGTACACAAATATACATTAAAATATGACAAAGATGATGCTGTAGTAGTTGGTAATTACGTTGTGCGGTCTGGTATTTACACTTTTTGCCAATTGCCACGATCGACTGGACTAATGGTCGCGATCGACCGATTGTGGTGTAGACTATAGACCATAGACCTTTGCCTTGTGGGAGAGTCACAACCAGCATGAAAAAGGTATTATAATTTGACTGTAGACACTAGTCTAAATGGTAAGTGTACTCGTTACTACATGGGTGAACTTATAAAATATCAAACTTATGTGGAAAAAGGCGAACTAAGAAGTCCACATGGAAATCCTGCAATGAATTTATTTATTTATACATTTATGGTTTAATTATACCATCCAATACCTATCTGAAAATATATATTCTTATACATTTAGTTTGAAATAAGCAGGTGCTTATTTCAGAAGCTAGGTAGCTTCGCTGTCTTATGGGTAAGTCAATTTAGTTGTAACAAAACTTATTTATAGTTAATAAGGTAATAATATTAGCAGGTAAAGAATATGCAATAAAAACACGGAATTGTAGATTTTGGTTGTTTATTTCTCAGGAAGCAAATGATTCACAGCATTGGTGGGATACAGAGGTCTGACAATACCGGGCCGAAACATTCAATTTCCTGAAATTTAATTTTACTAGCAATAGGTACAACAGCTTAGAATATATAAGTACCCAAATATAAAAACGTGGGAAAACAACGTTACATAGCTGTAGAATAGTATCATTTATTTAGTAAAGCGAGTTTTTTTTTATATTTTTTTATAAACTACACACCTTACTAAATCACAATTTCTAATTATGTCAAAAATTATGTATCACATTTATAACATTCTGTACAAAGTAAAAAAATATTTTCATACTCCACTAGACAAAGTAAAGCTGCATAGACATTTCGACCATTATAATAATATTGTTGCCTATGTAGAAAACAAACTTTTAGTTTACACATTTACCGATTTCACTGAAAATGTACTTTGTTGAAACCAATTGAGCAGACACAAACAGTAAGACAATCCACTTGAATATCACACTCAATTGAACCTTATAACATGATATGCAGTAGTAATGCTTTCATCTTATTGCATCAACAGTACCACATCGGGGCTAGGCTACAGGCATACTTACAAAGTTACAAATATTAAGTTACTCTTTCTATGTTTAATCTATACTTCAACTTGTTTTAAATATCATAATAAAATTGTTAAGATATAAATAACACAAAAGTTACGTTATGTGGACTTACAACCTTCATAAGGAGCGACATATCATGTATCTTACAAAATAATAGTCCCTTACGGTTCTGTTAACAGTTACACTATAAATAAATCACTTACGACACACAAATATATTCTCTTCTATCATTAAATTGTCGGTGCGTTGAAGGCACAAAGCTCTACAAACATAGTCAGTGTATACATACAAGAGAATACAATCGTCCAAGTGATGAACAACGTCAACAATCGTCAGCAAGCTGCATGTATCAGGCCACAGCCACAGCTCCCAGCACCCACCCATGCGTCACTCATCTGACTCGATTAAAAAAACATTACTTTTATAATTATGCAAAAACAATTATACAACCCTTCCAATTTGAACTTTTTTCAAAAACTGGGACTTCAAATGCAAATTGTGATTTGTGACAGTGATCATAGAGAAACAATCGAATATACTCTATAGGGACACTCAAATTATTACAACGTAATTTACAAATATAGTCAATCTCTAAATATTAACTAATTTATATAAACTGAATTATTTACAAAATATGAACACATCGGATGCGACGTGCCATCTCTCTTACATATTTGTAACTATTTACAATGACTATTATTATAAAACATTAATTAAGAGCATTGCATTTTCGTGAGCTTGATCAAAATAATCCCTTGTTCAACTCATATGTATAAAATGGTACACTACTAGGTACATTCACATGAATATGTGGCCAGTCGCAGTACTCAGCTCCTCCACCATAGACAAACAGTCCCGATCATAAAGTGGCAGATGCTCGACTTGCAGTCAACATCGTTACTATTAGCTTTTACAAGTCGAATAATTAGCTAGTATTAGAGATCAGTCTTCGGACAAAGGAAACAAATTCAGTACTTTAGTATATAAATCTTCACAATTCGACTTTCAACTGTATATTAAATATTTTAGAAGTTAACATCATATTTACAAATTCTGATGATTTGGACAATAACATTGTGTTACATAAAAAGTTGTAGAAGAAATAGTCAAGGCAGAGCTAAGAATTTTAGGGAACTCCATAACACATCAACTTGTATGACATGCAGTCGGCAGCACTATTATGTTAACATTGAAGATAGATTTGGTTTATCCTAAATATTATTCACACTTGCTTTTGATTATATTATTAACAATTAAAACAAACACTAGAATATTTCTATCATTATGTTAATATACTATCTTATAAACCATGTCGCCTAATGAAATCTCTTAACTAATCGACTTAATTCAAATTTTCAACTCATACCAATTTCAATTTGTACTAATGTAGATGTACTAACTTGTCATGTGCATTAATTGTATAACATAAACAGTTATATGTAGTAAAACTTTCACTTAAAATACATATTTATGTTTGATAACAATTCCAAAAACAACCTTTTTAATTATGTGGCAAGAAGTATTTAGTTTTGAAATTCATTTGTGATGATTTCATACCTACCTAGAGCTATATTCTCATCGTATTGATGTCGCGTGAAACTGGTTTAGAAAAACTATAAATAAGTATTGATGGGACTTAATTCACTGTATCATGCTACGACTTAAATTAATTTTAAAACTCCGTACTGACTAAACATGAAAATTATATTATACACCAATTTATGGCACTCATTTTTAATGACATGTTAACTATTTGTAAGATAATAAAATTGATCAAATTATGTGTTTGTACCAATTCTTTTTATCAACTTTTTACTTTATCATACAAAATCCTAATTATAAATTCTTTGAAGCTGCCAATTAAATAAAACTATTATTACTGGTGCTGCTGTTATAATTGGAATTCCCTGAAAATTCTATACAAGAACTGTTTGCTGCGTGTTTGTTTATAAATAATTGCACTTTCAATTTGGGATAGTTTAATAGTTACTGGTGGTTGATCTGTACGATTTGTTACATCGTCGTGTTTGCTTTAGGAATCTATTTTGCTTTACAATCAGCAGGCTCTCCCCCGTTACCGCATTAGAACGACTAGAATTTAGGAAAAAAGTCAATTACAACAGACAATGCAAAACTAAATGTATGCAAATATGTTCATAGTTACTTTTTCCCAGTCAAGTTTATGAAATCGTCATCCAGCAATTTTGCCTATAATAACTCATTTGCTTATGTTGCATATTTTTTTAATAATACATAAAAAATACAAATCAACACAGAAACACAATAACTTCTACATTTTAAAACACTCAATTTAACATTTTGCGTTTTCAAATATTACATGTATAAACCCATATTGCATATAACCAAATAAATACAGCAAACTCTAGCTAGAGGCTGCCTTGTCCTTTAACTTTTGATCTGACTGTAGGAAGCGTATCGTTTTTATTATAAATTGTATACCTGCTTCACAAAACATGATTTTTATATTTAAGAACTGTGACATGTTTTATGTGTAATAGTTGTGTAAAGTGTTATGAAATCATGAAAATTTTCAGTCAGACATATACAAGCCATCTGTGTATGTTAATGATACTTTTAATACCAGACGTTCTGTAAGGAAATTCAATAATTGGAATGTCATTAAATTCTAAATACATCGAAAGTGCAATTACTCTTAAACATTACAGATAAAAGTTCATCACCCTAATAAATTAGTCCGATAAGCGCTCGTAATATTAACATCATAGATCTACCTAATATCTCATACTATGTCAAAAGAAATCCTTCGGGTTTCACGTTCCAAGGGTTGATATCACGCCGGGTACCGATAGCAGCCGCACGGGCCGACCGGGTCGATATTTACAATTTTTGACCTCACACTTTGGTACTAATCTGGACAGATCACACAAGGACGTCGCGAAGAGTTCCCTTCGGCTCGGCGGCGCCCCTACTTGTCGCTCGGCTCGGGCGGCGCGCCGCCAAAGTCCAACTGGTAGCCGCCCGCGCGCGTCATCTCCTCCATACTGGGCTCCTTGCACTCGTGGCCCGCGTGCCCCGCCGCGCCGCAGTTCCAGCACGATAGCTTCGGCGGCGCGTACAGCACCGACACGAAACCGGCGTACGGCGCCGCCGCCGGGTACGGAGGCGGCTCGCCGTTGGCGAACGGTGGCGGCGGCTGGCGGTATGTGGGCGGCGGCGTCGGGTACCCGAAGGGCCGCGGGTACTGAAGGAATGGAATTGGAGGCGGCGCAGACGGCGTGGCGCGGCGCTGCGGTGGCGCCGGCGTGTCGGGCGGGGACGACGCGGCGCTCGACCCGCTGTCGGACGACGAGCGTGTCGCCGCGCAGTACGGACCGGTCAGTCGTCGCACGCCGTTTAGCTTCTCCAATGATCTATATTGCTGCTGATGTACCACCATGTTCAGTTCTCTTAATCGATCGTCACCAATATTATGACGCATCTGTGAATAAATTAAAAAGTTATTAGCAATTTTAAACATTTTGTTTATATAATGTTTTTTAATTAGTGATTATTATTAAACGACACTAAAATTAATGTAAAATCTCATTGCTGTTAGTAGTTTTTAATATCTGTACATATGTATATAATAGCCATATTAGTGGAACAGAAGAACAACAAAGTTGAAATAAATCTTGATGAAAAAAATCACTGTGCGGCTAGACTCGCCTCATTCGAAAACCGCGTTAATGCAGAAGGCTGTCTGTGGCGAAGAAGTCCTGCTGCAAACACGGTGAATGGACCGCGATGCTGCGGAGAGTGACCCACCTCGGCGACAGACATGTTTTCAAAGTTGGCGGCAAGTTGGTGCGGCAGTGGAGGCTGGTCGGGCGGTCCGACTGGCGGGGGAGGCGGCGAGCGGTCCCTCGACAGTCGGCGGCGCGAGCGAGGCGACGCGGCGCGACTGTCGCCCGGCGACGACACTAGGGGCGACGTCGGCGCACCACTAGCAGCCGTGTAATTTATTACCTGCAAATAATTCAACTGATGTAACATACTTTCATAACAAAACGAAATACAATCCAAATACAGCAGACTATAAACATTTTTATCCACACTTGACGTGACAACATGTCGCATACAAGCAAATAAACGTCATACCCAATTTATGCAATAATACATCACTACACAATGCAACAATAGCGGTTAAGTGGTTATTATTGCCCAATTTAACAGAGCTTATTTACTTGAAATTGCAACTGTTAACCACTTATGCAGTGTTAAAGAGATTTCACTGTGTGAGCCAAATATTATACCTACTCCAGATAATTTAGTTACAAATTGTATTTATATTTTCTTTTTTTAGGACTAATTTGTGGGTTATTAACTTATTTACATTTTAAAACACCACAACATTTTCACTAATTTGAAACATTTTTGATGTTATTTTGGCTACATCCCTTACCTCCTAGTTTAAGTGGAGATATCTAATGAGGATACTTAGCTCTGGTAGATAGCATTATGGATCAAAAGAATAACCAGACATATACTGTGGGTTCGAAAGATAGCTTTTCTCATGGACGACCATGCTGATGGTGCTATAAGCATTACTACATGAATAGATTACAGCCATATTTGCTGGTCCACTGCATCAAACATTTGATAGTACTTAGGTTAGTACAAATATAGCTAGTTGCTGGAAAATATAGGCCCAATATTAGTAAATCGTTAACAAATCACAATCATTTTAAGAGTTTCATATAAACAGGTGTCACAAGAGCATTAATACAAATTTTACTGTATTAAAACATGTTTGTTGTCATATTATCTAAATTGACATTGACATAATTTGTGCAAATATTTAATGAGGCCCTGAAAATGAGTGTGCTTGGTTAATGAAGGCTGAGAATAATTAACTTTTCTCTTAAAATTTAATGTATGGTGTGCACTTACTTCAAGTGGTTGATTTATAGGTGACACTATGATATTTGCAGGCCATGCATTGTGTCCTATGTAGTCTCCCATATTGTATTGTGGCATCGGTAGACCAGGAGGTGGGTGAGGTACTTCACCCAACATTTGCACTACTCCCCCAGCTCCTGTCAGAACTGGCGGAGAGCTGAGTTCAGGCACTGTGTCTGTACTAGGCGGCTGGAACATTACACACTTCATATAAACTTACTTATAATCTTAATGTCATCATGCACATCCATTTTATTATTTTTTTCGTCACTATACTTGTAAACATTCTGTTTGTCCATGCAACATGTTGATATGAAAACATAACCTATAAAGTTGTGTTGACATTAATGATGTATGATAATGGATACATGAACCAGTTACAATAATTTTACTAACAAATACCATGACACCAAGTGAAATGATCGTAATTTATTTACAATGCAATGTTTTAGTGAGGATGCATTGAAAATTGGATGATTGGTGGGCGAAGAAGATGGGTCTTACTTTAAAAAGAGGTTGAATAATGCCTACACTGATTTTGTAACATTTTCAGATTGGATTATTTTATATTTTTCCCTACAGATATAAATAGTGAGTATTTGATAAATGATCATGTGATGTAACAGGAAGTTAGAACTAATTACACATCTTTAAAAGGAATAATTTGATATTAGTGATTCAAATCCCATTACTATACATGTAATGTATAGAAGAAAGGAATAAATATACTTGAAAATCATTTCAGAAACTTATTCATAGTTAATTAGGAAATTTTTAGATCAAAATTCAGGGTATGCTATAATATTTTCATTATACCCACCAACTAGACAACTACCTTTAGCCATGAGCTATCATTTAAATACCAAAGTTGAACATAATTTCATTGGTTATCATACATATTTTTATTCAATCAACAACCTTGACTATAAGAATATTTCTTATTTATATATTTACATAAATCAAAACTACATAAAACATCCAACTTATAAATTAACAATGAGGTTGCAATAAAATGATGTGTGACCCATGTAACAGATATGAAGAGCAATACAATGGTAATGTAAGGTAATGACAACACTGACCTGCACCCCAGGTGTTTTGACAAACACAATACCAGGCGGTGGCCCCAAGCTAGACAAGTTAGGTGGTGGGATTGTCATGTTGCCCGTGATATTAGATTGTGTATGGCATGCACTCACTGGTACTACGTTTATATGATCTTGTGGCTCTGGAAATTGTATCCTCTGGTCTTCCATTTTTAATTTCTCTAGTATTTCACCAAAATGCGATTTTTGATCAAATGTAAACGCCGGATGATGTAACGCCATTGTGTACAGAAGTAAAATTTCTTCGAGGAGATCACCGTACAAGCCTTTCAACAACCCACTCTGCTCCAAACTGACCATGGCATTGTACAATGTGGTAGCACACGCGAAATTACACGAACGCAGCAACGACACGTACAAGGCCATTTTCCGCCGCGTCCTAGGGTCTGTGTTGGCGCCTCCAATGTCCGCAGCCAGGTCTGTGGGGTTGTTGGCTCTCAGTTCAGCACCACGCAACTCCTGAAAGTCCCGCTTACCCAGCTCCTCTAGGTATGTGCCAATGAAACGTAGTTCAAATGGCAAACACATATTTAATAACGTACACATCGCGTCTATGCGTTTATAGCTTTCCAATTCTTTAAACCATGATACCACGTCCTCTTTGCAAACCATTTCCAGAACACATTGAAATTTTATGTAAAGAATCAACCGGTCCCCTGCAGCCGAAGCGCGTCCGTTGCTTATAATTTTTGGCACACGCAATTACCGTAACAATGTGATGGTTGTAATCCCAGAATTTCCGATTGTAACATTAGTAATTATAAGCTTTTTATCCGTATTTTACAAGTACAGTATATTGGTTAAGCAACTACAGGCAATGCTAGTAGTTTTGTCTCGTCTATAGTCTATGAAATAGAGAACCCAAAGACAAAAGCATGCTTATAGACAAAGGTGCTACGTACAGAAGATACAGTTAGATATTTGAAAATTATGCTGTCGTCCTAATAAACTTAGGGTTGAAAATTGAACACCTTACATGCTTTCTATCTAATATGACAGTTGCCTTTCCTGTCTATGGAAGTTATTTCTGTATTTAACTCAGAAATACTTTTTCTTGAAATAAAAACTCATAAAAAATTCTCGTGACTTAGTTATTTTAATTCTACTATCTTCTACATCATCAGTTCAATTTTCAAGCTTAGTATTATAATATATGTGGACCCAAGCCCGGGTTTTTTTAAAGCTGCGACTAGACATCCGCAAATTATCAAGCTTGGTTTTATTATGGACCCGAGTCCGGGTATACGACTAGACATTCGGATACGAGAAGAGATACTGGGCAACCAACCAGGGTTGGGTAAAAGCATCCTTTATATTATTGACTAGTGATCTAACTACGATTCCGAAGTAAAAGTAATATTACTATATTATTGTTGGTAGCTTCATCATGGTACGAATGAATTTCCTTTCGCTAAAACTCGAAAACGCTGAACCGAGTTGGCTAATTTTGGTCTTGAAATATTTGTCCATGTAAGGTTTAAAAGGTGAGAAAAAATTTTAGGAGCCAGGCGGTATGAAGTTTACCGGTTCAGCTTGTTAATAATAAATACCACGATTGTTTCAGTCAACCATAAACTATAGTTTTGCTATTTTTGTAACATATCCGAACATAATTTTCTTCGTAAATATGTTCCAGAGACAGACAATCTTTTTGTAATAAAGTTTGACATGAACTTATTACAATATAGAGACGCAAGATATGAATTTCATGTGTAAGAAAGAAAGACAGACAGAGAATTTGTTCAAAGTGTTATAGTTATATTCGAAAACGTATTCGTGGAACGTTTTGTAGTTACTCGGCATTTTTTGACAAAAGGATCGAAAAATATTTTAGTCACTATTTTAGCTAAGATTGTTGGTGTAAATTTAAAAAATTATTAAAGAAATTTTGCAATGGCTCCCGCTGAAGATGTAGAAATGAAAAATGTTGAAAGTCCTGCAGCAGCGAGTGATGCAGAAACCCCGGAGGTGAAGAAAGATGCTGATGTGCTTGCAGTTCAAGATTTGAGGGAACATGTAAGACAAATAGATAAAGCTGTTGCTTCCAAGGAGCCACGATTTGCTATGCGAGTTTTGAGGTCGCTTCCTAGTACCAGAAGGAAGCTGAACGGCAACGTTTTACGTGCTATTTTCAACCAACTTTATCCATCTAATGCTGACAAAGAAAGTTTAATTGCATTTGTGGAAAGCCCTCTGCCTGGTGCAGTGGAGATAGAACCACCCCGCTCTCGTAGCGCACCCAAGCAACCTGTGCCCGAAGTGGATGTTTACTTGCACCTGTTGGTACTGCTGCGCCTGCTCGACACTAACAGGTTGGAAGAAGCTACTGAGTGCTCACAGCAGTTGATGAATAAAGTTCTGGCACAAAATAGAAGAACCCTTGATTTGATTGCTGCTAAGTGCTACTTTTACCATTCAAGAGTCTTTGAACTGACAAATAAGCTGGATCTTATTAGAGGACTACTTCATGCAAGACTCCGCACTTCTACCCTGCGAAATGATTATGAAGGCCAAGCAGTGCTCATCAATTGTCTCTTGCGTAACTATTTGCATTACTCTTTGTATGATCAGGCAGATAAACTGGTCAGTAAGTCAGTTTTCCCAGAAAATGCAAGTAATAATGAGTGGGCAAGATTCTTGTATTACCTTGGAAGGATTAAGGCTGCCCGTCTAGAGTACAGTGATGCTCATAAACATCTAGTGCAAGCTTTGAGGAAGGCTCCACAAACTGCTGCTGTTGGTTTCCGTCAAACTGTCCAGAAGTTGGCTATTGTTGTTGAGTTACTATTGGGAGATATTCCTGAAAGAGCCATTTTTAGACAAGCACCTCTACGAAAAGCTTTGGCACCTTATTTCCAGCTTACTCAAGCAGTGAGGCTTGGCAACTTGCAGAGATTTGGTGAAGTGCTTGAGAATTTTGGCCCTCAGTTCCGTAATGATCACACTTTCACACTAATTCTTCGTCTCCGCCAGAATGTAATTAAAACTGCTATCCGCTCGATTGGACTCTCATATTCCCGTATATCACCTAAGGATATTGCCAGGAAATTGGGTCTGGACTCTGCTGAAGATGCAGAGTTTATAGTGGCTAAAGCTATCAGGGATGGAGTTATTGAGGCTACCCTTGATCCTGAAAAGGGATACATGAGTAATAAGGAGAGCTCTGACATCTATTGCACGAGGGAGCCACAGTTGGCATTCCACCAGCGTATTTCATTCTGTCTGGACTTGCATAACCAGAGTGTTAAGGCTATGAGATATCCACCAAAATCTTATGGCAAGGAATTGGAGAGTGCTGAAGAAAGACGTGAGAGAGAGCAACAGGATTTGGAACTGGCCAAGGAAATGGCTGAGGAAGATGATGATGGTTTCCCTTAAATCTCCTTTAATAATAAAGTTAAATTAATAACTGATTCATTAGATATGTAATTTGTGCATTAACCATAATGTAATAAAATATAACTAAATGTTTTTGATTATTCTTTTTATTTGACTTATCCAATAGTATATAACATAATTTATTTTTACGCTTACCAATTCAGTTCATGTGAATGTGAGATCACTTACAAATAAAATAATAATTGTTCTTTTACTTTTAGTTTTCATTGTTTTTTATGCTTGATTGCTATGCTATATTAACCCTTAGAGCGCCACGTCAGTCACCGGTGCCTGACGCTACTGGAGGTTTGACTTTCACCATTTTAAACTTGGCAGTTAAAGTATTAATATGATACCTATTTTACTATTATTCGATAATCATTTTATTGCCAGATTTCAAGATCAATTCCAATGTCTTGTTTACAAATGAAACATTTGAAATTGAACCCTGTGCCGTCCTGTGACGGTAGACCGGGTGTACGCATTTACTGCACAACGTATTGCGGGTTCGATTCCGCACGGCACCTCAAGTTAAATTAATGCCATCTGGCGTACAAAAACATCAAAATATGTACCTAGCAACCTCACACTATATTTAAAACATTTTTTTAGTATCCTAGCAAAGAGTATAGTAAGTATAGGGGAATATCCTAGCAACCACATTGATTACATGGGCTGGATAGTTCACATTTGCAAACAACTTGAATTTATTGAAAGAAAATAATTTACATAAAAAAGGCCATCAAAATGGAGTTCACCATGGAACATATGGAGAAGCTCGTGGATCTGTTGAGACCACCTGAACCTGATGTGCTGCAAGGAGATGATTTACCTCCGACTGGTTTGTACCTCCACGTATAAGTTTGCAGTTTTGGTGGGCGATGAAGACAAATAGTACGTAGACACTAGACAGTTTTATGAGATAGCTTATACCAACCTATCCAGACTTCGATTATATGAGTAGGATTCCTATGTCGTTTAAGTCCACCTACTTTTAGGTCAATCTTGCACTCATAGAGCTAGTGCATCATACGGGTTGTTGGCCGCAGATTCTACTATAGTCAATGCCATCTATCGGCATTAGTCGGAGACTACAGGTAACTCTGTTATAGGTGGTTTCCCAAAAAAATGTCAGATATTTATTTTCAAACGTAAAAAGTAAATAAGTACCTACCTGCCATATATTACGGAGGTACTTATTTTGGGACTTCGAAGACTAGGTTCTTCCGTTTATCATAGAATATTTTTTCAGAATTTGAAATAAGTTCAACGAGAGGTAAAGTTCCTCCTCCCGAAGAAAAGAAGGGTCCAAAAACTATTGAAGAGTTTGAAGAACAAGAGGCTAAGGAGATCGAAAGCTTGGGGAAAGCTGGTGTTGGTTTAGGAGATCTAAAAACTCCTGAATATACCATGAATTATCAGCAGTCCGTCTCCGCTGAAGATGTGTATCTGCAGGTAACTATTTTACTTGCTAGATAGAGAATAGTGATACCCAAGAGAAAGAAGAGACACGTAGACACTCTTCCCTCCTTCCTACCTAGGTGTAAGGTGTCACGATAAAATAATCAATCAAATCAAATCAAAACATTTATTCATTTGCGAACATGGGTAAGAAAAGGTCTTATACACAATAGTGCCCATTAACTATATTCTATCTTACAGGCATGCAACAGTCAACGACTACTTACTTTCAGTTTTTATTATTAGGTAAATAGGTAGTTAGGTGTTTTATTAAAATTGAATCTTGTAAACCGAATCTTTGTGTCAATTTTAATACATTCCACTTAAAACAAAAGAATAGTAAGTAGTTATATAGGTACAGTTAACTTTAAATAATCATCTACACACCGACCCTTAGGATCCTCAGTATTTCACTCGCCAGCGTTGTAGTCCTAAGAAGAACTAAGTCTATCTTCACATCTTTTCACTTTTCAGATTGGCCCAAAGACCCCATCATCAGCAAGTTGCGAGAATCTGATAGTTCGCATCAAGATGCCGGGAGATAAGAAGGAAAACGTGGATTTAACTGTAGACACCAACAGTGTCGCAGTGGTTTCTTCCCAGTATTCATTGAAACTTCCTCTGCCACATGGCATTGATCCTGACCGGTCTAAGGCAAGTTGGGAGTCCGACCAGGAAACATTGGTGCTTACCCTGAAGCTGGACCGAGAATTTGATTTTGTTAATTTTTAAAATAAAAACCATATAGGTACGTAATATAACATTAACTTGTCTATTTTTTTATTTCCTAAATAGGTATCTAGTATCTACTTATGTAGCGGAGAACCTAACAGGTTACCGGGGCTCCGGCTCGACGTACAGGAGAAGGAACGGGGTGGTTTTTAGACAGTAAGAGTCTGATACTTCCTCCCGCCTCACATAGGCGGGAGCAGCTATTCGATGATATTCCCCCTTAAAAAAAATTAAAAAGTATCTACTTATAGTAGGTACCTAAGCATCTATATAACTGGTGAGGTACCTATGGAAAATTATTACTGATAAATACAAAAATAGTTTGCCCTACCCGGGAATCGAACCCGAGACACCTTGCCGGCAGTCGCACTTGCGACCACTCGGCCAACGATGCAGTCATACGAAATAGGTACCTACTAAATTATAAATGAAATATGAAGCACCTCAATACATAATTCGAATCGTAGATCATAATTAAACTGCGCTTAAAGGCAAGTCATTTTAACAAGTGTCCTCATCAATTAATATTAAATGTGATGTGTTTGAAATGAAATCGGCATTCAGAAGATTTGAATCACAATGTGTTTGATAGCCTACGCTGAGTGAAGTGCCCTAGATATTTAAATGCGTAGGTATCTTGTCTATTTTAATTGAAGTAATTTTCTTACCTTCGAAGAACCTCAGTAGTTTTAGTGGGGTGTTTTAGTGTTACAATATGAAACTATTATAATATGAAAAAAGGAAAGTTTAGTTGTTTACATAGACTCAAAAAAACTTTTATATTTTTTTCCACCATAGACTAAAAAATATTCCAAACAGCGCTCGACGCTGGAAGCCTATAGATAGGTACTTAACTGGCTACTCCTATAAAAAGGTTGGTATGTAGATGTAGAAACGAGAAAAAAAACAAATAAATATGATTATGATTATCTTCAACCATTATGATAATAATACACCTAACTTCCACGTACACAGGTGTATTACAGTAGGTCACGACGATTACTAACCACATACATGATTCTGACACGAGATTAATTGGAAACCTTGACCTGTGGTCACTCAACTCAAATAGTTAAAATTTACTTAGACAGGTAGGTAACTAGGTACCTGCATTTAATCTATGCTACCTACCTACTTCCGACTTGAGATAATTCAGCAATTTGATTCAGAAGTTTTCTTTTTTCTTCTTGTAGCTTATACCTACATACATGAAGTAATAGAATATATAATAATTACCTACTAACTGACCTGGCAACCTTCGTACTACCTAAAATGTTTCTTCACCTTTTAAACCTTCCCTGGGCTTCCAAGTACATTTCAAGACCAAAATTACCCAAATCGGTTTAGCCGTTCTCGACTTTTAGCGAGACTAACGAACGGAAATTTATTTTTATTAATATAGATAGATAGATAGATGTAGATATACAATATGGTTAGCAGAAAAAGCGTGCCTTCATCACCAAAGTGCCCTCTACGCTAGCCCTAAATACTCCACCAGTAGCCAGTCATCCCTTTGATGTATTTTGTGTACAAGATATGTGAAATTACCTCTAAAATATTTTAATAGTGGTCCACTTTTGTCGAGGTCAAGTCCTACCTAGTTCTTTAAACAGCGAATATGTTTTTAGGGAGGTAATACACAAAAGGGAGTTATGAAATTTTGATTTATATTTAGGTAGAACTTCTAGATTTTTAAATATTACAAGATTTTCATGTGGAGTTGGACAAAACAGGTACCTATTCATTTCAAGGATTCGATACTTTAGAGCCTAGAAATGATTTATGCTGGATGTTTTATAAATGGACCCACCCCATCATCCATACCAAGGTCACTCCAACGCTGTCCCTCAATTGGGTACTTGCTAACAAGTCAAATTCAGTACTTTTTTCGAACTATCGAAAACGACAGTTTTATATTAATGTTGTACGAGATTGTGTATTGTGACGTCACTTTTTTGCGTCAAACAGCATATCTACTTATTTCTTAAACATTTGCTGGAAAAATACTTATTTTAAGTTGGTCATAAAATCAATTAACGAAAGTGAACAGTAGGTAACTGTTTTTTAATATTTTTTTGTATTAAACAGTCGAAATAATTTATTTATGATTAAGGAAAGTACCCTATTATAACCCAAACATGTTACATGAGATATGGTCTCAAGGGATATGTTAGCTAATGAAGGGACACTAACTTTATTTATTGTTTCTCTCTTGTTAAGCGGGTACGAGAGCATCCTCTTTCATCTTCCGAGCTGCTTCTACGTCTATACCTTCCATTACCATCAATATTTTTCTCTTTTAATCATATATGCCCACAATTCTGTGATTCCAAAAAATCTCTTTCCCTTTAAAATAATTTTAAAACCTCAATAATGAAGTAGCTCAATAAGCAAGAACTTCGCCGAGACTACAGGAGGAACACTTGCACAGCATAAAAGCATTCACGAATTTCTAAAAGTAATTTACATCCACGCAGTGTATTTGATGTAAAGTATTTATTACAAATTGATATATGACGCATGACTTTTAATATTTCACATTATCGTTCATTATACCCGTTACATATTGAATTATATACAAATATTTACATGCGCATGATTCGTTTCGATTTCTACCACATTGCAACTCATGCTTCGTTAAATGTAATAACTAAAGTACCTACTAAGGATTTTCCTAACTAGTATGGTCTTCCTGATTTACCTGTGTTCACTGCACCTAACAAATACCCACCTAATATTTTTAATTACCCTCAGTTTTCATTTATTTAAATCCAGTTCAACTTTACCAATAATTTTGTAGTATTTTTTTTGGTAACCAGGTAACTTTTTAACACTTTCAAAAGTTTAAAAGTTATAACTTTGAGTTGAGTTAGAAGTTGAAGTGAAATGTTTCTCGACATAGAATCACAAACAGTCTGTGAAAAGTCACCATCATATTTTCATAAGCGGATTGGAGATTGAAGTTAAAAAAACAGGTTTCAGATCAGAGTGCTACTGTTTCTGTCGAATGAATCACATGATAGCTAGGGATGGGTACACGTGTCCGGCAGATTTGAACCTGATGCCTGACGTAAATCTGTGTGCCTATGGTTCGCCATATAGACGCACAGACTTCACCCATTAGGTATCAGGCAGATCTGCTGGCCACATCTGTACGTGTAGATACCTATGGCTAGCTATTCTCTTAGTCCGTTCTTACGATACCCACTGAAAAAGAAGATAGAGGCTACTTTATTGTTACCACACTGCTCAGAAATTTTCCAAACTTAAAATTTATTGTTTAGTATATTTTAATATAGGTACTTAATCAGCCTTCACTTCAAAATTATTATTAGATTTATGTAATCTAAGGTTGTCCAAGCAAAGGTCAGGTTTCTGTTTATTCCTAACGGTAAAGGTACACACACGCATACACACAAATATATACACATGGAGCGAAGTTAAATAATGATAATAATTTGTAAGGTCATCGATATTGCTTGAAAATTCACAACGTATTGTATTGAGTTTCGCACTTCCGTACATCCAAGAATGGAATATATTTTATGAGAAGCATATTAAAAATCATATACAAATTGGTAATATTAATAATATTATTGTAAAGCCGGTTAGAGTTCCTTGAATAAACTGGAAACATAAAGGTTTAAATCAAGTGCGAAACATGTGTAATGTTGATGAAGGTGTGATCTGCATTCATGCTTGCCCAATTTGTGATAGAGCAAAAAATTTTTATAAATTGATGTTTAGTCCATAAGTTTATATATTTTTATAACCTTTATGTGATTCTGACCGTACTCTGGCGACGTTGTCTCTAAGAGATAAAACCCTTCGGAGTCGCGGAGAACCTAACGGGTAACCGGGGCTCCGGCTCGACGTGCAGGAGAAGGAACTGGGTGGTTTTTAGTCAGTAAAAGTCTGACACTCCCTTCCGCCTCACCCAGGCAGGAGCAGTCATTCGATGATTTTCCTTAAAAAAAAAAGATAAAACCCTGCAAATACCTATATAAAAAAATTGATGAAGTTACCTACCTACCTACTTTTGAAATTTCTAGCGGTGTGTTTGACTTTTACAGTTGATTGAATGTTACCTAATTTATCATATTATATCTAACTGTTTCATACGAATGAATAGGTTCATTCAAAATAAGTAATCACAATACAGTTACCAACATAGGTAGGTACCTACTTTAATAAACCATACTTCACACTGAAAATGCATTCGTTAAAGCAATAAACTTTGATATGAAAGTAGACAAATGAAATTTATTAAATATGCATACGTTTTATATAGATTGGTAGGTACCTATATAGCTACGATCTCAACCGTAGGTAGTCCGTTTTCTCAATTACAAACCATTTTCAGGAACTGTTACTTACTGAATGTAATTACTGTTAAAACTTAATTACATCTAAATATTTAATCAAAAGAGTGTGTTGAACATATTCTGCAATCGTGCATGCCTTGTCAGTTGTTTTTTTTTTAAGTACCTAGCTGCGAAACATTTATCAAGGATCGTTTTGTAGTTGTTCGCGTGTTTCGTATGGAAGAGAACTCTGTTGCTTATTTCAATTGAAGCGTTCGTGACGCGCGGCTGTGATTGGCGCGCATCTATTAAATCATCAAAATTCTTAAGACACCGCAATCAATAAACCCATTGGTCGTGAGGATGGTTTCTGTGATCTTTGTTATAACAACCGCTCTTTTGTGATCAACTGCTTCAGTGTGATGTAGACGAAGCTGAATTTAAGATATTTTCCTACTAATTGCTGTTTTTAACTTCTAAAATGTAAGTACTTGACTTAAGCCCTTCTGTTATTTTATACGTCTTTAATTAACGTAATAAAATATACTTTTTTGTGGTGTCAAATTATTAGTTCTGGTTCGTAATATTATTGTGCATGGCAAAATAGAGCTAGATATATATACGTATAGTTGATCGGATTACTTATTCAGTTCACATTGCAAATTATTTTTCTATAATTCTTCAAAATATTAAACATTGTAGAGGTTATTGTGTGATATGCCGACTTACTTACTAATCATTTTGATCACCGCGCACGGTCATCACAATTAGTCCGTCGTGGTGTTCCACATTCGTAATAGCAAAATCGCTCACTCGACCTAATTTAAATAGGCAATTTATTGGACTGCAGTTCATTGCCTAAATATTGTACTAAATTACCTACTAGTGACCTGTCCCGCCTCGATTAATTTTTTAATCATTTTTATTTTTTGAATAAATGTACCTAGTGTACGTACCTAAGTGAACCTTTAAGTAGAATCAATCATTCAGAAAAATGGTTAACACTAATTAAATATATAAATACGCACGCTACTGTTGCACATTTTTATAGCATAATTTTAGGTAATAGTTAGACATATGATATCGCAGCCATAATAGTTAAGTAGATAATAATGTCCTCTATTTCTTTTTCAAATCGGTCCAGTAACTATAAATCGGCCCAGTAATTTCCGAGCCTAATCAATCCAAACAAACAAACTAAAATTAATCTTTCCTCTTTACAATATTAGAGTAAGTACTAGAAGTGTGAATGTAGACTATCAATTTGATTTTTTTTTTATAAGCACAAGGTCCATGAAATTGACGATAAAATTGTTTGAGGAATGCAGAATACTGTTTATTAAATTGGTACGATTGTTAGTAATCACCATAACTTATTTCTTTTATAGCATGTTCATACGGGGAGCCTTATTGATTCAACTACTGTTGCTATTGAATATAATAGTTGAACTAGACACAGCTAAACCTTGGGGCAACAAACGTGAGTATTCTGTTCTTACCTTAAAAGCTATATATCACCGAGACACCATGGCGGCGTGACCAGACGCCGCCACCAATTATATGTATAAGCTGGTTACGTAACCAAGTGGACACCAGGTGAGTAACTCTGTAAACAGTAGCAAGGCTATTCTTTCAATACAAAAGATCGAAGTGAACTCGATCGCGGTCCACCATGTCATTGCTTGTAAGAATAATCTGGACCAATAACTTATTCACATTGAGCTTATTTCAAAAGTTCGAATTGACATTTACAAATCAGCCTAGCTGTATACATTTTGTTGTCGTGGTGGCTCGGAGTTCTAAGACGTCCGCTTCTCATGCATGAGGGTTCGAAACCTACCCACGGCAAGTACCAATGTGACTTCTTACGAGTTATATGTAGGCACTTTCTAAGATTATATAGACATCACTGACAAACGGTGAAGGAAAATATCGTGAGGAAACCTGAACTTAAAATTTCTAATTATAAGTCATTGAGTTTCTCCGTGTTCCTCGTTCCTCTCTCTCAAAGTTTCTCCGTGTGAGAAGAGGCTTTTGGTCAGCAGTCGCCACTTATAGGCTGTTGATGTAATGATGATGTACCTCTAGACATATTGTTGGTAGCGGCGACTGGTTACGCTACCATGGTGTCCCGGTGAAATATAGCCGTAAATCAGATAAAAGTAGATGAAATAAAGTTCTTTAAGATTGTAATTACATAATACATTGCACTGCACTTGTACATTGTACAATTACAATGTACACGTATGAGTGCAAATCAATATGCACTCGTCGGGTACATCGTGAGTAGTAATATAACATCACACCTTTTATCTCGAAGGGGTAGGCAGAGTGGACATTACGGCACTTAATGCCACTGAACAATGTAACACTTCACTATTTATGTTATGAGTCCCATGTAATAGGGGATGAGCCTATTGCTATATAGCGAGCACAATTCCAGACTCCGTGCTACTACTGAGAATTTTATTTTAAATAACCCAGTAATACTTTGCGCGACCCGGGAACCGCACTCAAGACCCCTTACCCGGTAGTCGTACTTGCGGCCACTCGGCCAACGAGACAGTTCATATTTTAAGTAGTATCTGTCTTTGTAAGTACCTAGTATCTCATTCTTTCTAAAATTCGTGACACTTGTATTAATGAATGTACTATGTACCTACACATTATTTAAAATTGGAACTACTTTCAATATGGACTGTGAACAAGAGACTGGAACTGGCTTGGAAAGTTATTTAGGTTTTAAAATAACTTTTTCATAGAGACGCATAATTATGTTTTATATATCCAGTCACGTCTCTACTAACAAGTTAGTACCAATGTATGAATCTATAGCTTGTATATAAATTGAGTTTAATAAGTTTAAGTTAGTTTTTTCTTATCCTGTTTTTCTATACATGATGGTCATTTTAGTTGTAACTACCTTAGTTTTTATTGAACCTTATAGACCTTATTTCCGATGTTTAGAGACTACTTTTGTATGAACAAATTTAGGGTTAATGATATTTAAAAGGTTAATTGAATATTTTAATTGAATGTTTAATTATGTTTTTGTTTTATTTCAGAATTGTTTCCTCCACATTTAATACCCGATAATGCACTACATCCTCGAAGGTCGGTGGTGCGAAGAAAAATAGTTCTTTATCATAATTTCTTCCGTACTAAAGTACGACCTAGTGCCGCTAACATGCTGCTAATGGTAAGTTCAATCTATGATTAGAATTCTTGGTAAGTTAAGGTGTAACAATTATAAATAGTGAAGTGAATATAGTCCAAAATTAAAGAGATTGAGAGAGCGTAAAACACATAACATAACATCACGCCTTTTATCCCCGAAGAGGTAGGCAGAGATACACATTACGACACTTAATGCTACTCTTCAATGTAACACTCACTTTTCACTATTTATGTTATGAGTCCCATGTAATCAGGGGCTGTGTCTATTGCGTAAATCGGTAGATGAAAAAGAGTCTATCGATGGATAAGTGGGTAACTATTTTATAAATGAAGTTATATTTTTAAGATAGAAATACTGAAATAGGTGCTTTGTAGGTATATATAATTTTATTTCACATAATTCAATAAAATTATCAATGACTGACTTGCCAGCCGTCTTCTTATTTTATACAGGATGTATCGTATTTAGATGTCTACACGAAACTTTATAATTGATAAAATCAGTATCTATCTAGATCATTCTAAAATTTCAGGCCAAATTAGGCCCCACACACAAAGAAAGCCGATGCAGAAATACCAAGGTAGTCAAAAATCCAGTAGGTACGGATACGGACCTGTACTGGATTTTTGACTAATTGAATATTACCGAAAAAATGTCAATATTGTCCAGCTATTGTTGACAGATTACAGTTATTATTAGAAGTATGAAACAACCGTGTTTACAACGTCCATCCGTTTACAACGCCAAATAAACTAAGAAAGTTAAGAAACACTAACTAGTCGACGATCTCGACCAACTATTCGCTGATTAGTTAGTGAGGCCAAAAGTGGCTGACTAATCGGCTAGTCTACTACTAGTCACATCTCTAGTGCTCTTAGTTTTATTATACTAGGTAATAGGTATTAATTTATTTTAAAAAAGAATTATTTTGGATGATTGGCTATTTACAACCGAAGCTAGTCGCTGTAGTATGAAATAGAATTGTTACGCAATATCTGAGAATACAGTCGACGTAATATAGTCGATAAGTGTACGGTGTACCTGCCCATTATGCTTATTTAAAGAGGTCTTCACTCAAATAGATTCATTTAACCCTAATTCTGCTAACAGATTGGCGCTATGCATGGCGCCTCTTTGATTCCTATTTGTAATGAAACAAATCACTCTGTTACAATTTGTATATGAAATAGTACGTCTCGTATAAGAATGTCAACATTTTAGGTAGAAAGAACAGACGTTGCGTCGATGTATTTATTTTATTTATTTATTGTAGATCACGCCCCAAGTATTCTTTTAAAATTCAATGTACAATTTTGATTTTTCTACAATTTTGTTATAGTTATGTATAGATTTAACACTTTATGTACAAACATACAACAGCGGTTTTAAGCCGAATGGCATTCTTTTTTTTTTTTAAACGTTGCCCCACACTAGGATTTTCTCCTGTGGCGTGGGTGCGTTAACAAACATACAAATTCACATACACATGACACCTAGACCCGGAACAATAATTTGTGGATCACACAAAGTGTTGTTCCGTGCGGGAATCGAACCCGCGACACGTTGCACGGCAGCCGGTTGCCCAGCCACCGCACCAACCGTGCAGTCTTTTTTTTATACCGTATTACAAATTACCTACGGTTTTTAGCCTTACGTTAGGTTAGTATTATAGTATATATATAGTAATTTGATCTTCGTATTCAGCAGTCGCGATGTCCTTCACATTCTGAAGGATTGCAGAAAGTTATGACTGTTCTATATTTGTATTGTAAATCACTTTCAGACGTGGCACGCAGAAGCAGCCCGACAAGCGCAGCAATACGCAGAAAAGTGCATGTTCTTAAAGCACAATGACGTCAGAGAAAACCAAGTCCCACACCTCGGTACATGCGGCCAGAATTTGTTTGTAGCCGCACAGAAAACCCCGTGGTAAGTGCTATTTGTGGTTAATTACATCTGCGGTTATAAACGTAATTTTTTCCAACCAAATTAAATACAATTAAATTCCTAAAATCTTAAGCCGGTTTCCTGATTTTTTTCTAAAGTAAAAACTAACAAAGACCAATGTTTACATTCTTTAGAATATACTCAGGTACGTAAGCCTTTGTTTCAATATACCTACATTATGGTTACTTAATATTTGTTATTTGCATTTTTATTTCGACTTAGTTCCATTTTTATGGATCTTGTAATAATGTTCAGTTTCGTTTGATCCATTGTTTACAATCGCAGCTGATTAGTAGGTGTAATTTATTATATCACGAAATTATCTATAGACTTCGAATAAGTACTTTCAGCGCCACCTGTCCTCCAGGGAATAGTACCCTTATTTACATCATAAATTTCGACTTGATAAGCCGGTAAACCAGCAGACGCATTACCTGATGGTAAGCAATCGGCGTCACCCATAGACCCCCGGAACAATAGAGGCGTTACAAGAGCGTTATCGGGGGATTTTGAGAATTAGGAAGTTGAGGATTGTTGGGAATTCAGGGATTGGAGAGATAAGGGAGGGGAGAGAGGAATTATTCCAGTAACCTCACTGACAAGATGAAAAACAACGCAAGCGTTATTCCACGTCGGTTTTCTGTTAGGCCGTTGTATTCCTCCGGTCGAGCCAACTCATTCATGCCGAAGTATGGCTCTCCTACCCTCGAAAACTAAATTAATTATTAATGTTTTCGGCTTACTCACGTAACTTAATATGAGAGAATGACTCTAGAATGACTTGAAACTAGTCGAGTTCCCCGTCAAACAGTTACGTGAGTAAGTCGAAAACATAATAATTAATAGTAGCCTTCTTACATTATAGTATTATGTAACAATGTTATACTATTCTTACACATGAATGAATGACCAGTAATAAATGACGGTGGCTCTATTGTTATAAAGACAATGTTTAATATTATGAACTGCATAACTTTTATACCACTGAAATCTTTGTCAAATCTATAAACAATTTCATACTAGATACTTTAATATAGTAGAAAGTAAGGCTAAACGTCGAGAATACTCTCAAAAAACTGAGTTAAGTATAAAATAGTTTCTGTGTATAGCGGTGAAATGCAAAATAAAGTACTAAGGTTCTAAACTAAACAGACTAATCGCATTAACTAAAAATCGCGGGTTACTCACGTGAATATACTAAGAAAAGCTCGACTAGTTTCGAACTACATCCTCATGAGCACAGTATATTCACGTGAGTAACTCGCGATTTTTAGTTAATTTAGTATGTCTCACGATAATTAATATAAAAAAAGACTAATCGCATTTCAACAGCAATCCAACTGCAAATTGCAGTTCGGATGCAGTCTGAACGCAGTTGACACGACTACGATAGAACTGCAATCGGACTGCTCGTTTGGTCTGCAACCGGTTGGTCATGACTGCAATAGAACTGCAATCGGACTGCACGCTTAACGGTTGATTTTGGCAACGCCAGATAAATTTTAACTGACGAATATTTGTCAATTCTTGTATACTAAAAACTACCAAATGTCAATTTTATTCTACAGTTAAGAATTAACTGATGAATGAAAAATCGGCCTGAAATGCTCTAAATTTAATAAGACGCTCTAACTCAGTTTTGTTGGGTGTAATCGTGATCAGTTCCGTTGGTGAAAATGCCCCTAAGCCATGTTAAGGCAGTTATAGCAGAATAGAATGCATATATATCTTCAACCCCATTCTTCCTAGTTCCTACGTGTATGATATGATTCGACATAGGGGCTATTTTACCACCCTGATACGAGCCTAATCGATAACTTTAAGTATGTGGCAGATAGCTCATACAACGACAATCCCGACGATCGAAGACGATGTATTGTAATATATTGTATATATATTGTAATATATTGTAACTTTCAATTCGAAAGACTTCAGTTCGCCGTGCCATTGGTTCCGATCGAGCTCACTTCGAAAGTTCAAATTGACAGTTACAGAATAGCCAAACTGGTCCTAAATTATATACATAAATAAGTTCACGCCTATTTCCCATGGGGGCAGGAGACTATAGAAAGCCAATTGCTATGATTCTTACTCTTTGCAAATCTGACAACCGTTCATCAGTCAGATTCAGTCCACGTGCTTGTACTTAATAAAACGTGAACCACGCATTATCTATAATGTTAGTAATTACCGAAGAGCCAAGCTTTGATTCAATTAGTTTCGCTCACATTACACTAATTAATTTTACGTATTATAAAGTAGTAAATAATTTTACGTCAATTCATTCTTTATCCAAAAAACAATTCGTAAAGTATTTCAGAATTCTTAGTGATATTATTAGACATAACATAACATAACATCACGCCTTTTATCCTCGAAGGGGTAGGCAGAGGTGCACATTATACCACTGTACAATGTACTTAACACCCACTTTTCACTATTTATGTTATGAGACCCATGTAATAGGGGGTGAGCCTATTGCCATATACCGGGCACAGTTCCAGACTCCGTGCTACTACTGAGAATTTTTAAAAAACCCAGTAATACTTTGCCCGACCCGAGAATCGAACCCGAGACCCCTTGCCCGGCAGTCGCAATTGCGATCACTCGGCCAACGAGGCAGTCTATTGGATATTATTAGGTAGGTACTATTTACTTCATCATCATCATCAGCCCGTGTACGAACACGGGCCGGCAGCAGTTCGCCGAACACGGATAGGCTTCTCCAATGGCACGCCACTGAGTTCGGTCTCTTTCTATTTACTTATTACTACAGTATCTGGAATATAATAAAAAAAAAAAAACCAGTAAAGGTGTAAAGTAAAGAAGTTAGTGCACTTTTGCCTATTCTTTCTATTCAGACATTAGTGAAACTATTCAGTTCTATTCAGAACAAGTCAATTTACCAATTTTTTTTTGTACATTCCAAGGACTTTTCTACTCGTGTTTCTATATAACATATTACCGTACGTAGGTACTGTAAATAAGATAAATTACACCAGTTTTTTTATTTGTTTTAAATACAAAATCTTTGATTTCCTAGTGCAGCCTCATCACGATTGTCTTTGTACCTCCTGTGCCATAATAGCTAATTCGTGAACCAATAATTACACATAATTATTGTAGGTTGTAGGATTGCCCTTTACAACTGCCACTAATGTATGTACAATGTACAATCAGTCAAGATAATTGTTATATGGGTTTGATTCAGTACAGTAACTATTGACATGGAAAAGGATATCATTATTTATTATCTATGTACTAAATCAATATTTTTAAGTAGGTTGACTAACGGCATCCTGACTTGTCTATGTACAGTGTAGATTATAAGGTACCTAATAAATATCTACTATGCTAATGATCGAGTGAAAAATAGTGTGATTAGAGAAAAATGTGGATTGAAAGATGATGTAGTGACAAGGATTGAAAAGGGAATGTTATGCTGGTTTAGCATGTAGAAAGGATGGATGAAAGTAGAGTAACGAAAGAAGTATACAGAGCGGATATGAATGGGGCCGTCGGTAGAGGGCGCCCTAGACGGTCATATAGTGACCAGATTGGCGATATATATATCGCTAATCTGGTCACTATATGACCAAAGAAGGGCCAAATTAAAAGTGCCCCTAACCGATGAGCATGTATGAAAAGATTGATGACTGTTGATGAAGCGAAAGAGGTACCTATAGGTATGTAGGAATCGTAGTAATTGGCGTTCCCTAGTGAAGTTATGTATGTATATATGTACTATGCTAATTAATAAGAAGATGTCGTACTAAATCTACTATTAGACTAATCCTGAGATAGACTTCAACTTCGAAGACGTGATTACGATCCGTTCATGTAGGTATGTAAGTATAGGCAACTAGCACATGAAGCTACCCTAAACTGTCAAAATACTACAAAAGATTCTCGACTTTATATAAAACAAATATGGTTAAAAATGTAATGAAGAATTCTGACTGATTGGGGTATTTAGATCTGCTGGCGTATGTTTCTAGTTTTATTTTTATTAGGAGATTCTTATGTAAATAATGAACACGACTAGACGACGTAATATATGGAGGACGTGATTCAAATTAACAAGCCACTACCTAATGTACAAAAAATATAGCAAAAACTGTATTTATTTACCGTCACTTTGTTTTAAAGCTAAGTTAGAGTTAAGTATTTATTTATGAGTTAGAATAAAACTAAAATATGCCTGAATGGTCCGTTTATTCTCATAGTACCTAAATAACTGAAGAGCATAGGATTACGTTTTTAAAAGATATAATATAACATAACTGACTATTTGTCTGCACGGTTGGTGCGGTGTCTGGGCAACCGGCTGCCGTGCAACGTGTTCCAGGTTCGATTCCCGCACGGAACAACACTTTGTGTGATCCACAAATTGTCGTTTCAGTTCTGGGTATCATTTTGTATGTGAACTTGTATATTTGTAACGACACAGGAGAAAAATATTAGAGGGGCAAAGTTTTTCTAAAAAAAAATAACATCATGTCTTTTATCTCCGAAGGGGTAGGCAGAGGTGCAGTTTAATGACAGTGTAGGTACAATGTAACACACACTTTTTACTACTTATGTTATGAATCCCATGTAATAAGAGGTGAGCCTATACCGACCATGACCGTGCTACTACTGAGATTTTTTTCAAAACCCAGTAGTACTTTACCCGACCCTGGAATCAAACCCGAGACCCCTAGCCCGGCAGTCGCACTTGCGCCTGTTTGACCAACGAGACAGACACTAAAAGATATGATTTTTGTGATCTCTAATCCTGTTATAAAATTATTATCTATCAGTTTTTATTGTACATACACAAAGTATCTACATAATGATTAAACATCGACGTTTTAGTTAAACGAAACCTATCATTATAACCATATAATTTTATGATATGATATTTTGTAGAACCAATAGGTTATACAATTTTATTAAGTAGATCCTTGATCAGTAGCTAAAAATAAAACTGGCTAATTAACTAACACTAGATGTTACGATTATTATATTGCTAACAATATTGGATTTATGTGACCTGATAATAAATTATTTGATTTGAAAACGTAATTAATAGTCCAGTCAAGTAACTGCCAAGTGATTTCAAGTTAGATCCTTGAACTCGAAAATGGTAAAACTTATTTGATATTGATAAACTCGATTTCAATATTTACTTTTCAATATGTCTAATTCCATACAAAAAGGTACACAAAGCAGATTATTTTAAAGACGGTTTCCTAGCAGAAGCAGTTGTTGTAACATTAACCAATCATGACCTGAAATATAATTTTTTTATGGCATAAGCCGGTTGACGAGCGGACGGATCACCTGATGGTAAGCGATCGGCATCGCCCATGGACACCTGGAACACCAGAGGCGTTACAAGTTGCGTTACCGGCTTTTTGGGGATTAGAGTTTGAGGATCGTTGGGGATTCAGGGATTGAGGAGATTGGGGAAGGGGAGGGTAATTGGGCCACCGGTACCCTCACTCACACGACGAAACACAACGCAAGCGTTGCTTCACGTCGGTTTTCTGTGAGGCCGTGGTATCACTCCGATCGAGCCGGCCCATTCGTACCGAAGCATGGCTCTCCCACACTTAAATTATAGATATAAAAAAACCCGATTAATAATTTTTACCATATTTAATTACAGGTTCTTCGCAATTAAAACATGGTACCTGGAATACCAGAATTTCACATATGGCAATCCTGTATATAACCTGAAGACCATTGGCCATTACACGCAGATGGTTTGGGCTACCAGCCATAAGGTGGGCTGTGGTGTGGCCCATTGCAGAGGTGGACCATGGGGACAGTTCTATAACTACGTGTGCCATTACTGTCCTGGGTAAGTGGAGTTACAACCTGTTTATTAGAATAAATATCTGGAATATTCTACGGAAAACAGAAAGCCATTTGGCATGGAATTTTTTTTTGTTGTTTTGACTTAGGTACTCTTTTCGATATGATATTTGATGTATGAACTATGTTATGCTATTTTTAATTACTGTATTAAAATTGGAGTTACTCAATTATCCTTGAAGGAGTTGGTACTCGCACTAAAATGAAATGTAGCACCACTCTTTTCAAGTTTATTATAGGTAGTAAAAGATATTTTGTATATATTGTAGATCTAGAACTTAATCACTCGACCAGCCTTTGTAGAAAAAAATCAGCAGTAAATGGTTATGTAATACATAACATCATAACATAACATCACGCTTTTTATCCCCGAAGGATTAGGCAGACGTGCACATTATGCCACTGTACTTACAATGTAACACCCATTTTTCACTATTTATATTATGAGTCCCATATAATAGGGGGTGAACCTATTGCCATATACCGGGCACAATTCCAGACTCCGTGCTACTACTGAGAATTTAAAAAACCCAGTAATACTTTTCCCGACCCGGGAATCGAACCCGAGTGCAACTGGGCAAGAGGTCTCGGCCGAAGAGGCAGGTTATGTAATACATGTTCTGTGATCGTCACAGACCGTAGATATTTTTTCCTTTTGGTGCCATTGTGTGAATTATTATCCACTGCAAGAAAATATGTATGATAAATATGTAATGTATTACATCAGCGTTGTCTACTCCATTATATTCCTCTTCCTTGTGTCGTCGTTTGTCATCCATTCTATTATTGATTATTCTATTAAACAATTATATATTACTACGTGACCCCGTATACTTCGTTCCACCTCAAACATTTTTACTCACCGGTTAAACCTTCCCTGCACTTCCACCAGCATTTCAAAACCAAAAAATTACCCAATCGGTTCAATCGTTTTCGAGTTTTAGCGAGACAATGTAACAGAAATTCATTTTTATATTATAGGAAGATTTATTTATGACTCAAGTCCACAATTTTGTTAAACAAATTTTATAATGATGATCGCAGATTTTTTTCATATCATACTAATTTTGATGGGTAGGTACCTGATCAAATAATCAGTTCCTTCCAATATTTCTCGGCTCTCCCCTCTTGATCATTTATCATCATCAACTACTTTTTGTCTTACAAACTTAACAGGTCTATTATATCATAAGAAGTCTGCATTTAAAAACTTAAACCTTTTTCTTTTCCAGTGGCAACTATCACAGCATAACGCAATACCCTTACAAAATTGGAGAGCCGTGTGAGGAGTGTCCCAACCACTGCTTATCAGGATCCTTATGCACCAACGCTTGCCACAAGATGGACTACTACTCCAACTGTCCAGAACTGGTGTCCGTCACGGATGAAGTATGCCAACGAGGGGTCTGCAATGCCACCTGTAACTGTGCTCAAGATAAAATACATAGAAATTATCCTTGGACATAAAAACTTATTTTTTATTTCCTCAACTTCATCAAAGACATGCCTTCAATGTAATACAGTGACGCACACATCCAAAATTCTATACTAGGTACATAATACGTTTATGTTGTACGTGTGTGTATATTATTTTTTATTCACTGCCAGTGTTTTGACACAAGACAATTAGTTTAATGATACAAATATTGTTTGTAAATAAATATATAAATCATGGTTAGTTTTCTTTCTCCCTCTATAGCTAGATAATCTTGTAATACCTATATTTATATAATATGCTAGCTGACCTGGCCAACTTCGTACCGCCTACATCTCACCTTTTGAACCTTCCCACTACTTTCACGAACATTTCGAGGCCAAAATTAGTCAAATCGGTTCAGCCGTTCTCGAGATTTAGCGAGACCAACGAACGGAAATTCATTTTTATTTATACATATAAAATATAAATACGCATGTAAGTATATTTTTCATGAAAATAGAGTTAAGTAATTTCAACTTACGTAAATTGTCATCATCGACCCACTTTCATCCCCCTGCCAGACATAGAAGACATGCCTCCCAATTGGGGTCGACCTTCAGCTCTTCGAAAGAAAATCAAACATGAATTATGTTTGATTTTCTTCAGCTATGTAATAAAATATTGAGAGAATATATTTAAATTAGACGCCGAACTCAGTCAACAAACAGATTTTTTTATAGAACTTTCTGAAATCTCTTAAAAATGAGTGTAGGTACTATGGTTAAAAGGATTAGGTAGTTAAAAAATAACGAAAACAAAAATATTTAAGTCTTTTAATTTCGATAATTCATATTGATTCCCATTTTCCGGTATTTTGTTTAGTTTAGTATGAAGGGTTCAGAGTTCTTGCGCAGCAGGTGAGTCAACAGGTGGGGTGTCTGCCGGTGCGGAACCAACCACGATACTCCAACGTCCCTTTCTTTCGAACAGTCAATGTTTTGGTTATTATCTAATAATGATACCGGTTTAATAAAGGATATTCGATATTCGTTTATTTTGACTAGGTATTGTATGTTTCAGTAATGACTGTTGTTGTAGTTCTGAAAAAATCGCTACCGATTCTTACATTAGCCCTGATAATTTCGGAAAACTTTGTACCTAACTGTCATACCTAAAAATCAACATTACGTTATATTTCATCGTTAATTCTTTTTTGCAAAAGAAAAAGACATGTCGGTACATACCTACCTTATTGTAGATGAGCAGTTATCGTGAATTTTATTGGTATTAATTTGTATTCAGTCATGTTCCCGAGTGACCGAGCAACATGTTTCCCACCCCCACCACGAGTCCGACCCAATTGTAATGCAACGGCGGCCGGGTCCGGCGCGCGGGCATTGTGCGCGCACCCGCTCCCGCCGCCACCTGCCGCGCCGGCCGCGCACCATGGTCGCGCAACAGGCGCAGCACGCCTCATCGCCTGCCGCGCCGCGCAAGTCACTGCGCCGGCTCGCTTCCACGCGAGGCTTCAAGCCCCGCGCAGCCAACGAATATGGCTGGATTCGCGTATTTGAAGGCCTCGAACCGTTCGCCATCGATGCGCCCAGTAAACTTATCAAGGTTACACTTAATACCACAGTGGAAGAAGTGAATAAAAATCTTGGTTTCAATGATGAGCTATCGCTTTGGTTGCAAATTGGTGGTGCGAATTCGCGACGATTGGAACATGATGAGTATCCTTTAAGGATCCAAGAACAATACTTAGCAACATGTGGTTGGAGATCACAGGCACGGAGGATGCGGCTGGCAGTAGACCCGGAGCTGCGGCATACGTTGCGGTGGTGTGCAGGACCAGCTCCGCGCTTAGGCGGCGTGCTCAAATCCGGGACAGTTTACGTGCTGAAAGGACATGTATTTCCACAGTGGAAACCTAGGCCTGCCTATGTGATAGGATCTAGACTACATTCTTACGGTATGTAGCATTCAGGTATATTTTGCCTATTATTATAAAAATACTTTTCCTGTCTGAAAAGCATACTTACCCTGATATTCAAACTTTTCAGGAACAACCTGGGAAATGTTAGAACTGAGTGGCGGTAGTATTGAGTTATGTCAACCCAAGGCTCACAGACTCGTGCTCTGCGTGAAACCGCGTTGTCAAGGCAACATCACATCCGCAGACAACAGCATGAATCACCTCTTCCTCGGGTTTAGTACCATTTGGGAGAGAAACATGTGGTTCTGCTGGTTGAAGGAGGTAAGTTATTCAACTTTGACGACGTGAGCGTACAAACACAACCAAAACTAATCTGTTTCTAAAGCAGACAAGTATAAGCAAATTGGTTTAGTACGGTTGGCAGGTAAGCACGAGTTTAAGCAGTGTAATTGGAGCAAATCTGATGTAGTTTTATGTTTAGTTCCGTCGCGCGCTCCACAGCTTGCAGATATGAGCTCTTAGCAGATGATTGAGAATTTGATTCCGGTACACTTCTCAAACTAACGAACCGTCAAGCTAACAGCGGTAAATTGTTAGAAATTCTCTAAAGCTTATCAAGTTTTTGACGTTTCAATGTACAACTTGACGTTAATCACAATAGGGTTGTATAACCATGACATGTGTATGGTGCTGTAATATAACAACAGCTATTATTTTCATCACAAACCACGTTTATGACGCTCACTTATTCATAGTCATAATATCATAACTATCGATAGAAAACAATAGCTTGAAAAATTGTAAACAAGATTTTCTTGGTCATTGCAAATGACTTCTCTATATTGAAATTGAGTACTTATATGAAATTATTCATGAACATGTTCCTGAATTATTTATGTTGTTGTGCGACGAATTAAGTGTTATTGTTTGATTATTTCTGAAGATAAGGTATGCATACTAAAGAGAGTTATGATGGAACACACGAAAAGTGTGTTAATTAAAAATAGTGTGCACTACACCCTGAAAGAAATGTCACGGTCGAGATGTGCAGAGTATGATGGTTGCGTCTGCGCCGGTGATAGTGGCTTGCGCGCACGCTGCCACTTCACAAGTAAAAAGTCACTCGCAGCGGTCACACTGAGCTTACAATCAGTGCACAATTCGCTTTCCTTACTACTGTACTGTGCTACGTAACTTATTTGTAAACAATACCGGTTGTTTATTTTCAAAATACGTAACTTCAAGTCAGAAACCACAAGTCACATCAAAATCTACTTTTAGCATTTCTGGCAAATCATTCAATGATGATGGTTACAAGAAATCAGTATTAATCAAGGACAAACGCCATTTATGCAAGCAACAGCGACGTGAATGGAATAATGAACTGTACAGGAGTTACTCCGTAGTCTTTGGGAATAACAATGCTCGAAGGAGTTCGTCGGCCCCATTGTGGTTACACACCGAGACAGACGAACACTGTTTTACTGCAGTTGCTTTTAAAATGTCATTTGATGTAAAGACAAAGATACGTTTGCCATTAAACTCTTTAGTTTTATTGTTTGTGTTGTGCCAGTGTTAGTTCAGTGTGATGGTAGAAAGAAAAACAATGAAGTGTGAAGAAGAGGCGGTCGACAGTCTCGATGTGTTCACACAGCCCAACCCTGAAGACATTTTCCTGGACAGTTTGGAACCTAACACGTTCAGGGAAAAATGCGAACTTTCGGTTGGTCAACGTTCATGCTTCTTAAACATAAACTTTCTCATTAGTTGGTCGTTGGTTTTTAAGAAACTCATTACAATTACACCTACTCATACTCGTTACTTTAGTTAAATTACCCCTCACCTTAAATATCACATCGGAAAAATGGAAAAACCAAATAGATAACAAACCTGAATTTTTCAGAATAGATATGTTCTATGTCTTTGACGTTTAATTTCTGAGATTGACCAAACAAATCCCTCTCATGTAGAAGAAGAATATATTCCAACAGTGAACATTCACTGACTGCTGACGATGAAAATGATGGTACAAACTCTAACTCTTGATATTGTTCCAGGGAACACAAAGTACGCAGCCGCCCAATGTTTTGGACCTCAGTGGTGGTGGACGAGCGTCGTTAGGAGCGGCACTAGCGCAGCATGCAGCAGGAGCCTTTACTGTGAGGGTCCTCAAACTAAGAAGCAATGCCCTGTCGAGTCTGCCAGCTCAAGCTTGGACCCTGCAAGCTCTTACACACCTCGACATCAGCGACAACAGGATCACAGAACTGCCACATGAAATATGCCAGCTCACACAGTAAGTCATTTATTAACTGAGCTACTAAATCGAAGGAGGAAATGAATACAATTTTTTGACGTTGACTCTAACGTATTGAAATTGGGAAAGCAAATCTACAGATGTAGATCTACAGATGTAGATTTGCTTATTAGAGATAGATTTTTGACACTTTTGTATGGAGCTCAAGTCAAAATTCTATCTCTAGTAAGCAAATCTAGATAGTTTATTGAAACTGGATGTAAGACGTATGGACATAGCTTTAAACAGTCATATATTTATTTTAATCAATTTTAATTTTTACCCGTGTAGGGTATTATTTTTAGGACTTATTTCCTTCTTGTAAACTGAGGGGCTTAACTAGAGGTAACTTCTATTACAATTCCAATATAAACTCCATGGCATTTAGATGACGATAATGACAATGACTGAATATGGACAGGACAATAGATCTGATAAAACTTTGTAAAAGTAGTACTATATAAGTTTTTTATAAAGATGACGTTACACTTCACTACGTTTGTAATCAGATATTAGCTACTATTTCATTTAGTTGGTAATTAATATGTTTTCGACATCATACTAAAATAAACAGTCGTTAGTCAGTCAAATCGATCAACCGTGACTACGTTTGATAACTTTGATATTGCGAAGGTAAGTATTAACAAAACGAGTTAGTCAATTTACAAATTGAAGCGACGACGTAAGGCTTATAAGCTTAAATATAAGTTTTTGATCATCAGCACATTTCCCTCTACTGCTGGATATACTTATATAGGTTTCTGCTACACCCATTAAACTGTCAAACACCGCGAGGACACCGGTGACCGCAACCTATTGTTCTTTAATTGTGTCTATAATGACGGTATTCAAATTGTTAAGCTCGATCTTCCACCCTTAATATCCAACTACCGTCGATATTTTCTATGAGTTAGTTACTTATAGCATAGTAGGTACCTAAAGACTTAGCGATGATCAAGGGACACGCACGTCTCCCTAGGCATTTGCTGTAACAGGCGTTGTATCGTGGGGGCTCCGGAGCAGGTCTTCTCAGAGGACCCGGTGCCCCTTACAGGTCCTAAGGGCCCCCCTCACCGGGCAACCTGTACACTTTTTTTCCCTAAAAAAGGGTTCATAAAGACTTGGGTTCGCATGACAGTAGAATTGAACTCATTTTTAAGTAGATCTTAAGACACCCAGTAAATGACTTCAGTAGGTGGCGTATGTGCACTGTGCAGCGCCCATCTTACTCCTCCGGATAACAATGTATACGAATATGAAGTTATAGGAATACTACGAATTGACTCCAAGGTAGTTATAATAAATTTCCATATTTAAGACATTTTAGATTATCATATAGTTCGTCCAGCTATAGAAAATACGTCATTTGCCAGTTATTAATTAGATATCACATAAAATTATATTTCATTCTTATCTATAACTCAGGATATATTGCGATGGAAACGACCTTCAAGAAAAGAGCGTAATCCTTTTTAAAAGGCCAGCAACGCACCTTTGTCTCCTTTGGTGTTGCGGGTGTCCATGGACGGCGCTGATCGCTTACCATCAGGTGATCCGTCTGCTCGTTTGCCTCCTATTTCCATAATAAAAAAACAATATTTGTACAAATGTTGGGATAGCGTTTCTATAAAACTTTTTTAAAACGATAATCTAATTAAAATGAAATGAAGCTAAAGGAGACATTCCTATGTACCTATAAGTGAAAACAAAACTGTTAACGTACAGTAAGTTTAAACTTCAGTATACTTAAAATTTTTATAGTACAGAAACTTGGTTTACGGCCGATTTTTGCAATGTCAGTTAAATTTTAATCTATACTTATAATAAATCTGTAGAGAGGTCAATTCTGTACATAAAATATATTTAAAAAATAACTATCAAGGGGCGGTTAGGGATCGCTACTGATGCCAAAAATGCAATCAGTAAAATTTTTGTCTGTCTGTCTGTCTGTCTGTATGTTCGTTATGGAAACAAAAACTACTCGACGGATTTTAACGAAATTTGGCACAATTATTCTTTATACTCTTGGGCAGGTTATAGTATACTTTTAATTACGCTAGGATCAATAGGAGCAGAGCAGTGAAGGGAAATATTGGGAAAACGGGAGAAGTTACCCCATTTTTTAAGCTTCCGTCGCGTGTGCAGGCTTATAGGTTAAAGCTACATAGAAATCATGTATGACGGAAATATTTTCCTTAAAATTATATAAAAAATATTCCTCGACAGCATATGTCTATCTTTTATGGTTGACTCACAATAACACGTGAAACTCCCGATAGCTTAGCAATTCGGTGATTGTATTTGTCTACTCTAACGTTTACAATACTCATTCATAGACTTTACGCTGTAACTAAAAGGCCAATGGTTGAAATTAGCTTGACTCGATATTATAAATAAAAATATGTGAGTTTATGTGTATGTTTTATTTTTTTTTTTTTTTTTTTTTAAAAAAAAACGTTGCCCCACACTAGGATTTTCTCCTGTGTCGTGGGTGCGTTTACAAACATACAAGTTCACATACACAATGACACCCAGACCCGAAACAACAATTTGTGGATCACACAAAGTGTTGTCCCGTGCGGGAATCGAACCCGCGACACGTTGCACGGCAGCCGGTTGCCCAGCCACCGCACCAACCGTGCAGTCATGTTTGTTACTCAGTCATATTAAAACGACTGAAGGGACCGGAATTAAATTCGGAACAGAGGTAGATTATGGTCTGAAGTGATACATAGGCATTTTATCCCTGGGATCGCGGGCGAAGCCGCTGGCAGAATCTAGTAAAGGAATAAGTTTAATATTTGACAATTCTTCCAAACTAAAAATTTTCAACTGTCAATTTTATTCTATAGTTAAAAATCAGTTGATGCTTTAAAAAAGGCCCTAAGACTGCGGAAACAGTAAGTAAATATAGAGGTAATATCACTTTATATGAAATAACACATTATGTTCTGTCCTGTATTAAAATTTTACAATAATTTCCTATAACTATTCTACTTGTTGTTATTATAACGCTAATTATTATTATTTTCGAGGTTAGTAAAAAAGCATAGTGTTTCACAGTTCACGTATGCGATCATTACTAGTCCCATTCAGTAACGCTCGGTTGACGGAGCGTGGCATTCGCGGCGCCTCTCGCATCAATCTTAGCCTTCGGCCTTTTGTTTCGATATTTATGTACTTAGTTTCAAAAGGGAACAACATTCACTAGAAGAAAATTGTTCTAAACAGTTCCTTGTATTCAATGAGTTTGCGGTTTGAAAAGAAATGCTTTACTGCCTCGATGTCTGTGTAGAACATTCGAGAACGAACTGATTGTTTTAAGTATATGAAACATCTTAAATTTCAAGTTTCTTACTAGTTAGATAGTTTACTTTTATGTTAATCTTCCTTTCTATTTGTTATCTTTGGTCACCAACCCTATAAAGTTTTAAAGTTAAAACACTAATCTTAGCAAAAACTAAACCTGAAATATTTTTTCTAACTTCTTTCAGTCTAATTGAATGTCGTCAATGTCAAGAATGTACTAACAAAAACATACATAAAATATTCGTATGTCCAAGTTAACAGTCATATGTTGGTATAAGACACGGAGTTTCCGTTGTGTGCTAATTTTTTTAAAGTGAGTGCTTGCGTACGCGCCGCGGGGCGGGGCTATCTACATCTGCTCGTCGGACCGTGCGCGTTACGTTCACTTTACTTCGCCGTACGCGCAACCCCTGTTAGCTAATCTACATGGCATGCTCCTTAAACTACTTATTGATGCTATAAGTCCAAATGTTTTCTATAAGTTTCCTATGCATCAATTACCTGTGATAGTGTTTTTTTGTTGACGCACCCTCAGTTTTCGCCAGTTCAGTGTACCATTGGTTGTTTATTAGGTACAAAATTACTTAAAACACTTTGTTAGACTACATAAATATGACTCTGAAAACTGGACGACTGAAAGTTTACAAAATCTCAACGAAACTTTCAGTTTTCAGGGGTGATTAGACTGCTCTTACATGCCTAGGAATAAAGATAATTTTGTGTTATATCACAAACATATTCATGTATTTTAACATACTTGAAATTGCATAATTTTCCTTAGATGTAACTATTTTCACTCCCTGAAAGTATATCTGAACTAATCTAATGACAAAAGTCTTAATCCCCATTGACGTCGACGCGGACGAATTTTTCGATGCTCTTTGTAAATAGTTATATTTAGTTTTCTTTTATTTAATTTATATTTTTATCTTTTTGTATCTTAGTAATTAACTAGCTTTTACCCGCGGCTTCGCTCGCGTCACAAACGGATAAAAAGTAGCCTATGTGACATATAACGATATACACAGCGCCATCTATACCAATACTTTTGTTTTCCATCGGGAATGTAAAATTTGTCCGGGATAAAAAGTACCCTATTATTTAATCTGGACTTCTAACTTTACGTCTGCAAAAATTCAAAGCTATTGGTTTAGTAGTTACGGCGTGAAAGCGGAACAAACAAACAAACTCACTTTCCGATTTATAATATTAGTATTTAGTAATTAATTGAATGCATCAATAATGAAGTTATAAGTAGATTTTCTGCACTAACAGAATTGCCGTGCCTATGGACTTTGTGGTCTGAAATAAATCATTTTTATTTATTTATTTATTTATTTATTTAATAAAATAAAAGTCGACATCTAAAGAACGAAAATATACCTATGATTTTAAAATATTCAAATGGATAAATAATGTCATGAAGAACTTCTTTGGATAGCGCAAACAGCATCTAAACAGGGAATGTCGAGGTAAAACTAATAAAACAAGCATTTAATAACAATCATACGATCGTATCAACCACCACTTGTGAGTCATTTAAAGTATTATTCGTCCTTTACCATTTCCGTACATTCTACTGCTAGTTATAAAGATTCCGTTTATTTATGGTTTCTTGTATACGCAATTAAACTTCTTTGTACGACCACAATAGAACCTAATAAGCAGTTAAAGTCATGATAAGTTGCAGACTTAATAGTAAAGAGGTAACTTTGCAGTTATTGGCCATAAACTAGTGGTTCCATAATAGTTTGTAAATTGTCTAAAATATAATAGAATCTCATCTCCCATTACATGGGAATCATAACATAAATAGTGAAAAGTGGGTGTTACATTGTACAGCGGCATTAAGTGCCGTAATGTGCACCTCTGCCTATCCCTTCGTGGATAAAAGACGTGATGTTATGTTATAGTAGAATTTTAAATCGATACAAACTTTTCTTAGATGCTTAAAGGAAAATGGAAAATTCTGGCAATATATTAACTGTCTCCATACTAATTTCAACTATGGTATAAGGTTTCTACATTAATTACTACCTACATTCTGCAAAAATACTATGAAAGGAAATCTGTATGTGTAACATGATAAATGTTTTGTAGTTAAGAGGATTGCATAGATTCATTGATAGATAGAGGCACAACAATGCTTGCTTGTAACATCGATGGCGGCTTGTTGCTTCAGCCGCGGCCGCGTGGTCAGCGGGGCGGCGCCGGCGCACTCACCGCGGTCAGTCTGCGCACACGCTCACCTTACGTTAGCAGCATTATTTGTTTTTGTTATTTTAAAGAATAATTACAAATTTTTCGTTGCAACACGAATAATTAACGGTGTAACGTACATTTATAATGTATTGGTGGAACAGTGAACGTGTTTTAGCTTGGTTCTCGATTTTGTTCTACAGTTGCGATACTTCTTTATAGGTGTATTTTTTATATCGGTGAGTTTCTATTTTCTATATATTACTCTCTTGCAACCTAATATAAGAGCACACATTAAGAACATTAAGTCTTCAGGTTATCTACTCAACTTATTTTACTAGTTCATCATCAACATCCTCACCATCACATAAGCCACAACAGACACATATCAACAGCCTATGAGTAGCGACTGCTGACCGAAAGCCTCTTCTCACACGGAGAAGATTTGAGCATTAATCACCACGCTTGCTCTGTGCGGGTTGGCGATTTGAAACCAGCGGTATTCAGATAGGCGATAGTATTTATTTAGGCATTATAAGCCCAGGTTTACTCACGATGTTGTCCTTCACCGTCTGACCGTGGTATCTAAATAATCTTAGAAAGTACATATAACTCGAAAAATGTCACATTGGTACTTGCTGTTGGTAGGTTTCGAGCCCTTCCCCTGTTGCATGAGAAGCAGGCGTCTTAAACCTCCGGGCCACCACGACATAAACACGTCCATCACCAAAAATAGTCCTTCCTTAGTGACTCTTAGATCAACTAAATCTAATCAAATCTCTTCTCTTAATAAGACCAAGTAATTACATAAAATACACCTAAACAAACACAATTTGCCCTTGCGACCCCAACATGGAAGAAATTTTTCTCTTAATTATAATATCCGTTACACTGTTACAGTAGTCCTTTCTATGTCGGCCAACAGTTATGAACTTGTACATAATAATTGTTTACTCCAGTAATCAGCAATGTGTCGCTCTCGTTACTCTCAAGTCCACATGTCACGTCGCCGGCGCAGGCGCAGCTAGATGACAATCACGGCGTGGTAATAAGTTAATAAAGAATGCATTTAAAAAGTTAAAAGCCATGTAACATTGTGACGATTTTAATTATGGCTTATGAAATAATTTTAGTTATAAAGGTGTTATTAGTTTTAATTAAAGTAACCTTGACTTATATTTGTAACTTTATAAGGCCACTAAACTTCTATTTCCTGTGTTTTGTGCAAAATTTTCATACTTATACTTGCCATAATTATACAGGTACTGATGCTTGTTCTGTGAAAAAAATGCATAAAATCTGTGCATATAAAGTTGAACCTAAAGAGGTTCAACTTTATTCCCATAGACTCATCACTAATTTATTTTTATCGTGCCTATGGGGTAATTTACGACTCTTCAAAAATCGACTATCAGCACTTAAACAACAAATCAACAGCATATTTAATTAACAATTTAATTTGAAACATACTTAACTTGAAAAAAATTAAAAGTTTTGAATAACCTACTATTCATCAATACTTACCTCCAATGCGATAGAACATTCTAGATTGTAATAAGTATTTTCAAGCTCAATAATTTTGATCTAAAACATACCTCTATACGTGAAAAAAATTTACTATACCTTCGTAAATAAAAAAAAAGCAACAATCTTGTAATAAAAAAAGATTTATATACTTTTACGCAATGAACACCTAGATAAAGATCTGTCTATAATGAAGGTATTGTTCACTCTAGTTTATAGTTTCAATCAGGAAGAGTGATCGCGATTGTTTCTTGATAAATAGCCTATTTCACGTAAACATAGGGTGTGTATCAACGTGCAATTGGTTTGTCTTGTAAAATTCGTGAGATATACTAAATAAATTATTATGTTTTCGGCTTACTCGCGTAATAATTTCTCCTCTAGTATAACGCCTCTAGCATGGCTTGAAACTAGTCGAGTTCCTCGTCAAATTATTACGTGAGTAAGCCGAAAACATAATAATTTATTGTAAAATTGGATGTTTGTAAATGTAACTAATACTTTAAAGAAGTTATCATGAATTACTAACTTCTGTATAAAAACAGCCTATGTGTAATTCCTTGTCCTAAATTTCATTCCGATCGGTTTTACTGTGAAGGAGTACCAACCGTTTTATTGTGAAGAAGTAACACGTATTTATAATACTAGTAGAATTTATAAGGGCTCTGGATATTTAACACGCCTGGGTAAGATTTAAATTAACTGATAGAAATTTGATGCTACACAATTATAACGATATACGGCAATGTACAATCACGACAAGATTTCGTTTCGTGTTTAAAAGACTATAATTATTATAAATAATTGTGTCTATAAACTTTTGAATTACGACTGTCTACACAGTGAAGCTAAATATTTTTCAGCAATAAATCAAATATAAACACTCAATACAGTTGACATTTGACGAAGTAAACAATCAAGTTATTAACAACTAATTACAATTAAAACACTTAAAAACTTTCCTCGCCTTTATAGTGGTTTATGAGTCGAAATACTTAAAGAATGTTTAATAAAAAAGCTTTTAATTGCATCAGTCACGGTGTCCGAACTAGTGGGCCACGCATTAACATGTGCGGTCTCAGTTAAAGAGCTACGAAATAGTGAAAATCTATTGTTGAATCAAAATTACGCAATCTCATTATTGTTCTAAGAATAACCACATACATATTTGTATTGCTAAGTAATTGATAAGGATAAAAATAATTACGGTGAGAGAAAATAATTATCTGACTCTTGAACTTTCCTGCTTTGCGGTAATTGCGGTCACTACAAACAAACTTTATATGTCGATATCTGCAATGGCGTTTATTAATAGTGGTAAAGTAAACTTATCCATAATTTTATTACCTATCGGACATACATATCTAAATGAAGACACAAAAGTTTTTAAATGAATTTAAATTAAAGTGAAACTGAAAAAACAATTGTGTTGATAGAGATGTAGATAACTTGACCATTTTTTTATATTTTTAATAATTGTTATGTATATTGTGCCATGCACCACCACACATTGAAATGCAATTCTTAATTTCAAACGAAGCGATTATATATTCAAGATTGTCAGTAGACTAATGCAATCAAAACTTTGTTCGTTTTCTACATACAAATAAGCATGGTAATTAACTATTTTACTTTCAAATAGAAGTTGTAGTATTTTGTTTAATTCTCACTTGTGTAGAGTCTATCCACAATGCTGCAAATAATCTTTGCAGTTGGATAACTAATTGGCTTGCGTCCGATTCTTAGATAGATTTGCATACTAATTTGCTGGTACATTCAACTCTGTCTATACACATGTATGTATGTGTAATTATATACACTGGCTGTTGCATCAGGAACATTGTTTATTTATTTATTCATTTTGTTAATACGAAACTCTTCCGTTACTGAATGATTGACGAACTGACTGACAGGACAGACGACGAGCATCCGAAGCTACAGGACCTAGGAAACTGAAATTCGGCATGCATGTTGATGAGAATTGAGGAACAAAATTTACCTTTTTTTATGCACGAAGTTGCCAGCAGATACTAGTTCATTGAACTGTCTTTTCTTTTTTCCAGATTGGAAGAGCTCCAAGTGAGCGACAACGAATTACGATCCATAGACTGTGTGCTGCGACTACCCCGGCTCAGGACTTTGGTGGCAACTAGAAATTTGATCACCAGTTTTGGGGTAAGTTCTTCTTCCCCAATATTTTATATTCACCGTCTGTTCTTCAAGAGTATTATATACAAGAAGTTTTTAATGTCAATTACTTTCATCTGCACAAAAGAAATGAGAAAGAAGGAGCCCCTAAACGTAAAATCAACGGAAAAAACCTACGTGGGATATGTTGCTTATATTTAAGTAGTGTAACAGATGATTTGAATAAATATTTAGATTGTAATAATAATTATTAATTCTTAACGTTTCAGCCCAAACCACAAATGGCGCCAGAAGACGAAAATAAATCAGAATATCGAGCTCCCCTTACCACCGTGGACCTGCGACATAATAAACTAAAAGGGAGCATCATACTTGGAAATTATGAGGTGAGTACGCAATCTGCACTCTAGTAAGTCAGTCTTACCTTAGATTTTGTTGTTACCCACTATTTCCTAGAAGGCCCTTTCCGTGTCCCCGTGCCTTAGAGAATATCTGCAAGTTCTGATATCCGCAGCTTAAATTCTTTTTCTCCTATAAACGTATAACCTCTTTATAAACAACTTGCGATTTGCTATAAAGTAACTGTCACATAAAAGAATCAAGTGCCTACATGAAATGTTTAGTGTTGTACATGAGATGACTACTAGTGATAAATATATTGAGTATAATATAATTATTAATATTGGAGAGGTCTATGTCCAGCAGTGGACGAATACAGACTGATGATGATGATGATGATATAAAATATTAGCTTTTACCGACGGCTTTGCCCACCAATTCCTGTTTTATACCATGGGAGCATTTAATAGGCATAAAAAGAATAGAATGGATGAAGAAAAATGGATAAAAATTCTATCATCTATCAGCCTATACCCTGCCTAGATGTCGCGGAGAACTTAACGGGTTACCGGGGCTCAGGCACGACGTGCAGCAGAAGAAACGGGGTGGTTTTAGTCAGTAAGAGTGACACTCCCTCCCGCCTCACCCAGGCGGGAGCAGTTATTCGATGATTTTACCCCTTTAAAAAAACCCTGCCTGTATACCTACCAAATTTCATTAAAATCTGTTGAATAGTTTCAGCGTAATTGACGGACAAACATCCAAACAAAGAAACTTTCACAGTGTGATAAAGTAGTCTAAGTGTTTGAATTACGGAAAGATGTTGTAAATAAATATGATATCTGTATTATTTTCAGTCTTCATCCTTTCGTTAATCTACCGAAATACGTAGCTATAACAACTTGAAAATCTTCAGCTAACTGCACTCATTACTAATTAACAGTACAATATCCAAATTTAATTACTTCGGATGTCCGTTCGTTGTTGAGGCCATTACCAGCATGCCACAGATTATATCAGATTGTTTTACTTGACCTAGGCAAAATATTTACTACGTATTTCATATGATATTACACAAACAATAATGTACTCAGTTATACATTAAATACTAATTGGAGTAGACTACGCCATGATGATACTGATAATATCGATATCAGAAATTGCTTGATATCTTCCAAGCTTAATCAATCAAGGTGGATAGGTGACCTACTAATGGTTGCAAAGGCGTCACTGGTTATAAGTCATTGGTCGCTTCCACAGGGTGGACCTGGAAGTCGTGGCGGAGGTCTATGGTCTACAGTGTCTATCTTGCCGTTGATACGATGATGACCCTCTTGATCTAAGACTGGAACTCAGAAGTAATTCAGCAACTTAATTTAGCAATCGTTCTAATATTATATTGTTTATTCACATTCCAGCACCTGGTGTCTTTAGACCTGTCTCACAACAGCGTGGAGGTGTTGGTGGTGTCAGCATTGCGCGGCCTGCGCGAACTGTATGCGGCTCACAATACACTGCAGCACCTTGCTCTGCATGGTGCCATGCTGAGGATCTTGCGTGCTCCTTACAACCGTAAGTTTGATGATTTTACTTACATTCAAGTCTTACATAGTCTGATTTTTAATGGTATAGAAACATTGTAATCAATTTCAAACGATTTGGTCTATCGTGTCAATTTAATATCATTCGTAAAATATCCTTACCATGAAATAAATAATAACTTATACCGTTAATCGTTTCAGAACTAGAAACACTAACCACAACAGTACCACCGATCAACCTAGTCGAAATCGACGTGTCGCACAACAAGCTTACCTCGTTACCCCAGTGGCTCAGCGGCTGCTCCGACCTCACCACGCTACACGCCAGCAATAACCAGCTCACCTCATTACCAGAGCATCTTTTCTGCAGCGAACTCTCCAGTCTAACCAGCCTACATCTAGCACACAACAAAATATCCAGTATACCTTCCATGCCAAGACTAAGATCACCGCTCCGAGAGTTGCTTCTACATGACAACTGCATACAGTCCTTACCAGAAAACTTCTTCTCCACATGTGATCGAATGTGCGTCCTAAATCTCACTAACAACAGATTAAGTCGACTACCACACGCCAGAGGTCCCTCATCACATTGTCTTGAGAGACTCTACCTTACTGCCAATTGCCTAACTGATGAAGTAGCCGATGTTATAATAGCCTTCAGAGGATTGAAGATATTACACATCGCATATAATTGCCTCACGAATCTACCAGAAACATGTATCAACTTCTGGCCAGATATTGAAGAACTTGTATTGTCTGGGAACTGCCTTTCAAGACTTCCAGAAAATTTACCACAATTGAATAATATTAAAATAGTAAGAGCTCATTCAAACAGATTACGCTCTGTTCCAATGTTTGCGTGCAGTGCCTCAGTTAAAATATTAGATTTCGCTCATAATGAATTAGATAGTATAGATTTACGACTTCTTGCCCCGAAACAGTTGAAATTTTTAGATATATCGTGTAACAAAAAGTTGCAAGTGGATCCTTCACAATTTAGCGCGTACAGATGTCAACGCCCTCTTAGTTTGGTCGATGTCACCGGACGACATTCCTTACCGTGGACACAAAAAAGTGGCTATCACGAAGAATTAAACGGCTCGACGCCTTGGAGCACAGGATTTTCTGAATGTCCAAATAAATCGTTACAGCTATGTTGTGCACAAATACGCCTACCGTCCTTCTGCAATAGGGAAGGTTTATTTGCAATCATTGATGGTGAAACTGATATTGAAGTGCCAAAAATTTTACAAACCTCTATACCTGGACTTGTACTTGAAGAAAAATCGATCAAGGAAACAGTTAATGAGTACATGAAATATGTTGTCCTATCTGCGCATAGGGAACTCAAGGAAAAAGGACAGAAAAAAGGTGCTTGTTTAATTATGTGTCATTTATCGCCCATAACTGCACAAGAAAATGGTTTTGGCCACTCGGCCCGCAAGTATAGTTTGAAACTTGCCAACGTAGGAGATACAAAAGCTGTTCTAAGTAGACGGAATGGACCTCTAAGTTTGGGAATAGAAAATAATAAAAGATTGGGATATTCCACCAACTATCCTAATACTGTGCCAGATCCTGACGTCATACAAACCATAATTAAAGAAGACGACGAGTTCCTAATTTTAGGCAATGGACATTTTTGGAATGCTGTTAGTATGGAGACAGCTGTGTCAGAAGTAAGAGCTGAAAGAAATCCTGTTCTAGCAGCTAAAAGGTTACAGGACCTAGCGCAAAGTTACGGCGTGGAAGAATGTATATCGGTGTTAATTGTTCGTTTCGATGCGGCTCGATCTGACGTCGATCTGTTGATGCGTGAATTGCGGCAAACTATCAATAGCAACAAGTCGGTATGTCGATCGGATTGTTGCTGTTCACGTTTGGAGCCATGTTGCCATTCGGTGACGCCTCCAAAACCATGTAGCGATCGGTCATCTCCAAGTGGGCAGAGTGACCGGCCACCTAGCGAAGCTGTCAGTCACCAACATTATGCTAGCGTAAGGTCACAAGCTAAAGCATCTGAACGAAGAAGTTGTCGAGGAGGCGTCGCCCGCGCTATCCGCGTTCGAGTCGAAGAAGATAAGGAAGATGACCACAGACATGAAGAAGTATCTAATCCTGAAGAGCAGTTCAAATGCTGGGAGTACATGCTTGAACAAAACACTCAAATGTTATTTGATAAAGAGTTAGATCATTTGTCGAAAGGCATCAAATCTAATGTCAGCAGCTTGCGAAATCTTAAAGGTCTGTCGGGTAGCAGTCCGCAGTTACACTTGACAGGGAAACAGTCAAAAGGTATGCCGTTCCTATCAAAACATTTTGGAAGTGCGAGGTCGTTTGGCACTGCACTGAAACCTGATTTTAGATTCGGTTCTGGAAGGTTACCCAATGGTGGACCAAACGCAGCGTACTTTGGATCACTGCAGCGACTCATGCCCTACCACCTGGAATACGATTTTGCTGTGATACAAGAGAAATCCACCCAAGACTCCTTGGACCTTGAAGGTCGCATGCAACAGTACTGGGGTGTAGCGACGACAGAACTGTAAAATATAATATTTAATATTGTTTAGGTACTGATAAATTGTAAGTTGTAAATAAAACTTTATTGTAATTACATATAAGTACAATTATTTATAATATAGATACCATTCATCTGTCGACTAGATTTTTTGCACAAAGTATTATAATCACTATGGACTTGCCTATATCAGCTATTATTACTTATATTACATTAATTCTATGTACAATATTGTGATAATTTCTGTCGAATATTAAATAAATATGGGGTTACATCTATTCCAATTATATTTTTCTTTTGTATCATTTCATAATAATGTACATTAATATGTATGTGGCGTCTTGTACGAAACATTATGCCTTTACAATTTAATGATTTTTTCTACAATCGTACTTTATTTACAACAGTGTACCTTGCTAGTAAGGCGTTAATCTTTATTCTCTGCTAGTTCTATGTACAAATATTTATATTCTTATATTACAAATCTAAACGAACGGTACAATCACAAATATACACCCAACAAAACATCGATGCGGAAAACTCAGCAACTGTTTAAGTATTTCAACATACAACGTAAGTACGATAGTTTTGAATGACAAACCAAAACCAAGGATTTATTGTATGCAGTGTCAATGCCTATATAAAAAATTTATTTACATTACTTTCAAGTCTTGTGAACATTTAACAACGACGACAACACTCACATCCCTGTGCACCCAGCAGCCACCACACCACACATAATAATATATTGTTTCAAGTTTAGTGCTTTGTGTTGCTTGCTGAAACAGTAGCACTTTAGCAAGCTTCAGTTCCTTGTAACATTAACGTGTGATTACTCTTTGGCGTGGTATCAGTGGTACATATCAAATAGTGTCAAAAGTGCGGCACACCAAACTTCCACTGACTTCGTCGAACGTCCTAAGCGTGGCAATCTTTGTAGTGGAGTTACAGCTCACGCTTGACGACGAGCTCGAGAGGTTGTGGCGCGAGCACGTGCGGATAGGGGGGCCGCGGGACGGGGGGCGGCGGGGGCGCGGGCTGCGCGTGCGCCGGCGGTGGCCGCCGCTAGGGGAAGGCGCGCGGCGAGTAGTGGTGCGCCTCGCCCAGCCACGAATCTGGTGACGGTGGAAAGTCGGGGTATCCACCCGCAGCCGGGGACGATGAACTGCTTAAATCTGAAGCACCTCCCGCTCCACCTGCTCCTCCGATACCAGCACCACTCATTGCTTGACCTGTTGATAGTTGATCAAGTCGGAAGGTTAGGATTTATAATACATACCTACAACAGTTACAAAATATATGTTTCCTATTTTTTTTAATATACATAGATGCCATATTGCTACACAATCATACATTGAAATGTAGAGAAAAACAGTAACCACAATAATGTTATCTGCAGACAAGAGAACAGACAGAGAATTTTATCAGATTAATTTCCAAAATCTCGTAGCATTTGCTACGAAAAACGTAGCAACAAAATATGAAGACTAATATGTTAGAATATACTGATATTCATATTGGATGTCAGTCTTACCTATGTTAGTGTATACGAGATGGTCTGGTGGGTAGTGGTAGTGTGGATGTGGCGGTGAGTGCGCGCGCAGGTATGGCGGCGTAGCGGCGTAGCGCGCGCCCCCTGCCGCTGCGCCACCACCCGCGGGCGAACCTTCCTCGCCCCCTAGTGCTACCGTGCTGTAGCTATCGTTGCTAAGTTCTGTAAAGACAGATGTCGTTGGTTGCACTTGAAAATATACTTTGTTAAACCATATCATATGTTAAACACAATTACTCAATTATATTTTTATGTACCAATTACCTCTTCAATAAATCATAATTAAAGGTACAAACAAACAAATTATAGGAAAAATATAAACATTTACCGTGATGACTAAACGAATCCAAGTCAATCTTGAGTTCATCCTTGTCCAGCAACCTGTCGTGCCGAGGCGAGCCGCTTCCACTCTTCATAGACCTAAAGTATTGAGACCAGCGCGTCCGGCCAGCATCTTTCTTTAACCGCTTTTCTTTCGCTCGTCTGGTGAAAATAAAATTAAAAACGTGAAAAGATTTTTTTAGAACTATAGTTGTTTGTTGTCCTACAGATATCCCAAACTAAATACTTTACAATGTTTCAAATACATCCAATAGTATATCATAAAAACAAACAAATAGCCTGAATGAAATCGTAAAACCAAGTTTAATCATTAAAGTTTACACAAATTTTTGCGGCAACATATTACAGTAACCCTGTTTCATTAAGCGATGGGCACTTCGAATAATGACTGAACTTTGATTTAATAACGCAAACTCGTTATAACGCTTCGATTACTTTCGATTTAAACAAATAATCGTGTATTCGATGTATAAACAAAACACCCCCGTCGCATGTTTTGCGTGTGTTGTTATTAGTGGAGCGACGGGGTGCCGGCGCGGGCTTTCAACAAAGAGGTTGATTAATTAAAGTGCCTCCGCCCAGTCCGCTGGGAGCGAAGCGCGTGCTGCCATCTACCTCATGCGGATTATTGATACATTGTCCCGAATTACCTTCTTTGTACTTATAAAGTTAATAGCCCCAATCTAAATAAGTTACCCGGTACTACACGTATGTACGAGTATTTAAATAGATATATGTAGTTCATTATTTATTGTTGTTTATTAAAATTATTGAAGTACTTCAATAAAGAGAAAAAACGGAAACTAAAATAGAGACGGCCCACACACCAAATATCTATGTAAATACGTAATATTAACATTTAGGATCAAAATTTCATTTCTCAAAAACTCTTTGGTAAACACAATCCCTGTCGAGAAACTGGCTGATTTTCACGAAAAAAATATGACAAAAGCCATATAACTAAAAAGAAAGACAAAAAGAAAAAAAAACATAATGGCGTCAGAAATTATTTTCTACAATTATTGCCAGCATTTCCTTAGGTGTCATTTAAAACCTTAAAACTTAGAAACTTTTTACTTTAAACTGTCATTGTTGTTATGGCTATGAATGTAGATCTTAGATTATGTAGGTTTCCGCGACTCCGAAGAGAACGAATGATTAAGTCTATGATAATATTGCAGCAATGCAATAAATATTGTATGTTTGTAATATTACACTAAGGTGTAAATAGACCTGCATGAGCGTGTAAATAGACTTGCATTGAGCGCATACAAATTAGATACGTTACTATTTTTAATCTGCAATTATATTTTTCTATTATAGTTGTCTCAAAAACTTGGACATAATTCTACGAGTTTTATTTTCGTATCACTAATTAACCGACTGCGACGAGACGGAATCTGAATACTAAATAAACCTAATCAATATGAAACGCTAACAACACGTTTAACACGAGTTGTATTGTGTGTATAGGTACATAAACTATTATAGTATAGTTATATCGAGCACATAAAGTAAAGAAGTCGAGCATTGTGATATCGCGTTCAGGTTTACGAGGCGAGGCCGATGTGCAGGGCGTGACTGTTGGCGTGACTGTGTCCACTCGCGCGCAACACAACATAGTTCCGCGACTATGCTCCCAAACACCAACAAACATTCGCTACTATAGATGCACAATGCGCAAATATCGAAGGCCGGCCTTTTGTAAGAAAACCATTATGATATGACATAGTTATGTAGTACTTTGACCTCGAAGGTCATGAGAATTGGTTGCTGTCAATATGTTATGCGGAAATTTTAAACTGCTATGTAATAGCGAGATACTAACACATTACCACCATCAGCTTCTCACGCGAAGAAGGTTTGAGCATTAATCACAGAGGTTATCGATATGATATATTCATATCATAATCATTCGATTAGGATGTAGTTTATTCAGGAAAATTTTTGAACTTAATTATAAAATACTAATCAATATTATTTTAAATAGATTTTAGTGCTTCGGTTAGTTGAAATTATAAAAATAAGTACAATAATAATGCACTAACTAGACATACCACAATTTTTTTATTAACTTTCTTTAAAAAAACGAAAAACAAAGAAAACTAATTCATTCAAGGCACTTTAAAAAAAATTTTAAGTACCAATACCAAGTAATAAATCGACGCAGTTGCACGTCACATTAATTTTACTGAACATTTTAATGTTTAGCTCTGTTAGGCTATAAAGCTCTAATCTTTCTTTACGTCTTGTTAATTCACTTGACCATTTCAAAATCATTTCGTTAACTTAAGTAGTTTAAAGGTGCTTCTAGTAGGATTGATTGTGTCGTATGATTTAGTACTTATTCGACAGATATGCTCAGAAACGTTCCTTAGGTGTGTTTGTCCCATTATTCAATGTTATAAAGACGTCAATGTCGATTTGGACATGTTTAGCATCGTCGTAGGTTCAGTTTGATTATTCATTCATATACATATTTACAAAAATGCCCCGGTTTGTAGATAAATTGTGTTATTGGTCAATAATATGTCACTGAAAAAGTTCATATAGATCAGACGACCATAGCTGCCATTGTTAATATTTTTCAAGTACATTGGTACATGTCTATCTTGATAAAGTGGGTCATACTCACACTTACACCCACACTCTCCTTTAGCAAAACGTTTGAAATAAACAGACTTTTACTTACATTCTTTACTGGCCTTTCATAACTAAGTAGACTTATAAAAATGTCTCACTAAACAAAGAATTTTAGAATGAATAGAAGAATGTGAGACTAGTATAAACACGTCTACTGACCTGTTTTGAAACCAGACTTGCACGACCCTCATGTCGAGCCCCGTATCATGCGCCAGCTGTTCCCGCACGTGTCGCGCTGGCTTCGGACTACTGCTGTACGCGTTCTTCAAGGTCTCCAGCTGCTTCGCCGTGATCGTAGTCCGCGGCCTCTTACTCGCAGCATCACCGTCTAACGAACCCTCACCGCCTGGACATTGCACATTACAACTGATTTTGATGTAGATTTTGCCATTTTCTTTTCCTATGGAGTGAATAATTGTTGCATAAAAAGTTGACAAATAAGCTATTGGGTGGTTTAAGAGCGCCATGTAAACAGGGTCTTACATTTTCCCCTTAATGGGGCCGTACAGGTTGCCCTACCTGGAAATCGAGCATAACAGCGATTAAAACAAAAAAGGAAAACGTACCTTTCGCTCTAGCAGCTTCATAGTCAGGTTTACACACGAGCTTTCCATCCTCCATGAGATAGAACTCGTCGCCGGTGTTAAGGGTCCGTGCGCAGGCGGCACATGCGAAGCAGCGCAGGTGGTAGACGTGTGACTGCGCGCGCCGCACCACCTGCGTCGGGGGGATGCCCTGCCCGCAGCCAGCGCACTTCGTGCCGAACCGCCTAGGACAACAGCCGCAATCACAACAACATTATCAACGTGATAGACGCTATTACATACGTGGAGATAGAATGGAAATAGTCGATAGCAATTGCAGAAGTGAAAATAAGGGTATCAAATTGGCCGAACTGCCCACGCATAAAGCAATGTCCAAGGGAAATTAGGATTACTTTTTATGTAACATAGATAGAAGTATAAAGAGGCTTACTTGAAAAAATCATCAGTGCAATAGAGCTGGTTGTTCCTGGCGAAGCACTTTCCGGAGAGCATAGCACGGCACTCGACGCAGCGCAGACAGCCGGCGTGCCACGTGCGGTCCGACACCTTCAGCACGTAGCGGTCTACGATCATCTCGTGACACCCGCCGCATTTCGGGATACTGGCTGCAACACACGCCTTGGTGTAAGGATGGAATCATACACTAAATTGTTGATCGGTGCTACAAAATCGGACTACAGATTTCTGAACATTAATTCACGCATAACTTTATAGGTAGTAGTTAACATTTTTAACTAAATTGTCAACAATATTTACAGATAATTGCTTTGTAACCTACGTCAATCAATAATTTTGTGTTTTATTACATAAGTTTCACTATATAAATCACTACGTATGTGGCTGATGTTGCTTTTTAGTAGGGACAAATTTATAACAATAAATATGATTATAAAAAAATAATGTCTGTATTTTGTGTTGTATTTTTTCCTCATGCTAGCTGCTGTTTGCTACTGTCACGTTTATGATGTTTCAGTAACTGCTGTTACAACAAATACAGCTGTTTGTAATTCCGCCAATTTCGCCAAAATGTCGGTTAATTACGCCTTAATATGGACACTGATTTAGTTATTGCTTATTTATCTGTATATGTAGAAAAGTAATACAAATATGTATCGCATCAACCAATCTACTATTTGGTAGCTGCTGTTTTGATATGATTTTAAAGTTTCCAGAAAATTCCGGAAATATATAATAATCTTCGATTTAAGCAACATCTGATTATTGCTTATGTATGAACAAAATATTTGTACAGACAATATTAACCTCCTAATACTAATTCTAAAAATGCCATTTTATTGTAATGCAGGCTCAAAGTTCTTGCGCATATTGTTTTCACCTTTATTATAATTTCAGTTTCGTCTTATTGTAAAACGTATTTTATTTATTTTATGTTAATGAAATTCGATATTGTAAAGCTTTCTGTTGACATCTATATAATTTACTTTTTGTAACACAATATATTACTAATCCACATAGGGTACATTTAAATTAATTTGACATGCAGATAGATAGATATGTACGTATAGGTATGATGTAAGCATCCGCTAAGAAAGGATTCTGATCTTAGATCAATAAAAAAAAGTATAAACTAGGGGATAAAAGTCTATATTCTTCTATATCTTAGATTTTCGACTGATTGAGGTTAATCAATCTTTAATTTCAGATTTCAGTTAAAATTAAATAAAAGTTTGAAGCTACTATGATGAGGACGTCGGCTTAAATACGATTTTGATAATTTGATTAAACAGAATAGGACCTGGGAAAGAAAGTCTGAGAGTTTTCAACCCGGAAATCCCACGAGAACGGGAAATACTTATGCTTTTAAACCCCATACACTCTATCTTTTAAACCACTGTACTTATTTCATTGAAATTCAGTACAACAATGATTTGCGACTCAGAAAATCATATCTAATATGATAGTGAACCAGAAGTCATTATTCTACGTGGACGAAGTCTTGGTCTAGTCTATATAATATAAATTCGTGTTAGTTACACTATTTATAATTCAAGAACAGCTAAATCGATTTGGATGAAAATCGGTGGAGGGGAGGTTACAACCAGAAGATGGGCATAGGATACTTTTTATCCAAGGATTTCTCAAAAACCTTATGGGAACGAGAAAAACGGGATTACGCCTAAAGAGTCGCGACCAGAAGCTGATATATATAATAATTAAGAGTTTATATTTCACAATGTCTGATAAAGTTTAAGTTAATTTAACTGACGCGACGTATAGCATACAAAAAGTGTCAAAGCATGTATCAGTTAAGTTAGCAGCAACATAATTACATTTTTGTTAGTTGGTACTCAGTTTACCCACTTTACCAGTGGCTAAAGTATGACAGATTAATTAGACAAAAAATGTATCTGTCAAATGGGAAGGTACCTATCCTCTAATATACAGGCACACAGCACTGCATAACACACTAATTCAGGAAACAGAGCTTAATGTTAATTTTAATATTACTATTTACTATAATAATATAAATAAAACAGGCTTATTCAGTAGTTATTCCGACAATGTGAATGTTATGGAACTCCTAAGATGAAGTTATTTATTTTAGTACGTTAATAATTAACATTTCGGTCCCCAAGTTTTAAAAGGTAGTTTTGTAAAGTTGACCTTGGACCCGATTTCCAAACCTGATCAAATAATTATTGTTATAAACTAATAACAATAGTGTCGTGGTAGCTTGGAGGTTTAAGACTTCTCCCTTCCTTCTTTAAGACCGCTTCTCATGCATGAGGGTGCGAGTTAAAAACCTAACAATGGCAAGTACCAATGCGACATTTTCCGAGTTGTATGTACTTTCTAAGACTATTTAGATACCACTGAGAAACAGTGAAGGAAACCATCGTGAGGAAATCTAGGCTTACAATTTCTAATTATAAGTCTGAAATCCAACCCGCATTGAGCAAGCGTTGTGATTAATGCTCAAACCTTCTCCGTGTGAGAAGAGGCTTTACTCAGCAGTGGGTATTATAAGTTGTAGATGTGATGATGATGATGATGACGGAAAACTACAATTGATTTTATATATTTCATCTAAAATTTACCTAAATATTTTTCTAACATTAAAAAAGACAGGGACTTGGCAAAATCTGCTAACAGATCAATCGTACTTCGAATATAACTAAATTATATAACTTTGATACAACTTTGTAACATAGTATTTATACGCAACATATATATACATGTTGTACACAGCATACTTACTTACACGGGGTTTATTTACGATGGATATTATATCTGGTACATTATACACGCTTGTTTTTTATGCCTTAATGATTTCAAATAATTCGTTACAGATTCGTATGTTTTCCGATAAAATTATATTAAGCGAAACTATCTGATATGTTAGTACCTATCTACTTACTTAAAACACTACCTAGTTTTTACGTACTGTTGTGTAATCGAACAAATGGTTTTAAAGCGATACATTTATTTGCCATATGGACACAATAATGCCAATCTTCAATTTTTTTATGGAATAGGAGCCATCGAGCAGACGGATCACCTGATGGTAAGCGATCAGCGCCGCCCATGGACACCCGCAACACCAGAGGAGTCACAGATTTTGCCGGCCTTTTAAAAAGGAGTACGCTCTTTTCTTGAAGGTTTGAAGGTCGTATCGGTTCGGAAATAACGCCGACGACAGATCATTCCACAATTTTGCTATGCGAGGCAGGAAGCTACGTGAGAAGCACACAGCTGTGGCCTGCCAACCATCTATATAATGGGGAACCATATGCTGTCGTGAGGGTCGATGGCGAAAAGATGCGGCAGGTATCAGTTCAAACAATTCCTCAGAGCACTCCCCGTGGTATAAGCGTTAGAAAATGCACAATGAAGCTACATCTCTACGCATTGCCAAAGTGTCCAGCCGGTTTGAAACATCCCGACATCCAACAAGCCGAACGGCACGCCGCTGAATGCGGTCTAGTTAAATATAATCGGATTTGGTGAAACCCAGGAAATGAAAGTAATATAAAAACTAAACGTGGATACTTTTGGCAACCGATGAATATTTGTTCTCCATAGAACCAGTATGAAAAGGGTAGCAATATAAAAGCTGCGACAAAAAAGTACTTATCCTTACTCAAATATTTAATATACTGCCTAAAATACTAACTGTCCAACTACGTTTTTCCGAATAGGAATGACAAAACGACCGAATGAGATACTGAAATCTTTGAAAAATAAACATGACTGTTAATTGCTATAATACTTTTCTACCAGCTTTAATTACGTTCTACTGAAAACTATGCTTTGGTTAACCTAACCTAAAACAACTGTAATTTTGTCGGAGGTTCAGTATTATATTCGAGAGTTTAGTTTTGTTATTCGAAGATCCATTTTTATAGACGGCCACAGATTTATAGAGATTAAAGAGTTTTTCAGAACCATTATCACTCGTATGAAATCATCCAATCCCTGCGCATACCTGTGTTCAGTTACTTCCACTTAACACATAAAAATCGTCAAAATCTAAACAAAACGTATCTGGGTTTGCATAGAGTCCAAAGTAATTTTTCTATTAATATTATCACTTAGGATACACAAGCTCTATAGCACAAGCTGATAAATTCTGCAAATATAGTTATTTTGGAGATAGTGCATTTACTGGACTACTTAGTCTAGATAAAGCACAAATAGTCTCAAAACATAAGAAATGTTAAGACAGTAATGCACTTTCTCCCTGAATTTTTGAATTAATTATGTATTTAAATTATAATGTGTTTGTGTAATTTTAAAACGATTTTATAAATATCATCGTTACTTTTGCAATAGGTCGGATAGAGGATAAAAGAAGATATTAAATATCTACAACCAACTTGAGTTAACAGCTGTTGTCAAAAGACTTGTTGAATGATGGGCAAATTGCTTAAATTTACATGAAAATATACAAACAATAATACAGAAGATGTTATTCGGTACAATTTGTGAAAATCTTTTACCATATTGTTAGTCAAAAAAGGAAAGTGATAATAAGACAGGATATGAATACTTTGTACAACAAAACTGGAAATAACGTCAGTGACAGATGAGTTTTCTGGTATAGTTTGGACAAGATTTTGTGAATAAATTATTATTTGTTATATGGCAAATAATTAATCATTATAGTGGATCAGACTTGGGCATAAAACTTCAAAGAAAAAAAGGATTTAGAAAAATACCCCAATCATATAGTTGTACCAAGATGGATATTGTACGATACGAAGTGATGCAAAGAAACAAGAAATATCAATCAAGGCAAATAAATAGAAAACAATTGAATAATGACATGATAATCAGCGGTGTCAAGTGCAAACAAAAACAAGGAGAAAGGTACTTAATGTATTAAAAACAATAAACGGTTTAAACAATAAAAGGAAAATGACTTTCACAGATTCAGATGAATAAATAATGATATTTTCAAAACATCACAGATCCTATTTAGAGCACGTTTAACGTTTACAAACGCAACACAGAAAATAGCACAGCACACGGAACACTGGCACTCAAACACACAACATTACGTACATAGGAATACTTCGGGCAAGTGTTCGAGTTGGATCGGCGGCACTCGCATGTCCTCGAGGTCGGCATCCTCAGCGCCCGG